TGTGGGATACCCGGAAGAAGTTCCTGGATCCTGGTTTTGGATCAGCATAGCATCGGCCGTTGGGCTCACTTGGGGAGTGAATCATCGGACGGAAGATCTTCCTCTCTGTCTCTCCTCCTCTCTGTATGTCTGACTTTCCAATGAATAAACAAATCTTAAAAAAAAAAAAGAAAATGCTAAAATTTTCCCTCAAATATTTTAAATTATGTTGTCAAAGATTAGTTGACTGTGCCTGTGTGAAATCACTTCTGCCGTTTCTATTCTGTTCCACTGATCTTTGTCTGTGTTTGTGCTATTACCACACTGTGTTGATTACCACTGTCATGTCTCGAAATCTGAAATCGTGATTTCCCCAGTTAAATTTTATTCTTCAAGATGGTTTGGTTGGCCTGGTGCAATTGTCCAATGAATTAATCCTCTGTCTTCCAAGTTCTGGGATCCCATATGGATGCTGGTTATTGTCCCAGAAGTTCCATTTCCCTTACTGCCCCCTACTTGTAGCCTTGGGAAAGCATGGGAGGATGATCCAAAGCTTTGGGACCCTGAAGCCATGTGGGATACCTGAAATAAGCTCCTTGTACCAGGCTTTAAATCAGCTCAGCTCCAGCCATTGCCGCTTTTTGGGGAGTAATTCAGCACATTGAAGAGCTTTCTCTCTGTCTCCCCTCCTCCCTGTAATTCTGCCTTTTCTATAAACATAAGAGTAAAAATCTTCCTTCTGCTGGTTCATTCCTCAAGTATCCACAGTAGTTCAAACTGAGCCAATCTGAATCCTGGTGCCAGGAGCTCCTTTCAGATATCCCAAATGGCTGCAGAGTGCAAAGGATTTGGGCAATTCTCCAATGCTTTCCAAAGCCTCAAGGAGAGGAATTGATGGAAATTTGAGCAGCCAGGGTATGAACCGGTGCTCATGTAGAATCCTGGTGCTGGCAAGTCGAGGTTTTACCCACTGAGCCATCATACTGGGCCAATAAATGTTTAAAACGTTTTAAAAATAGGATTAGCTATTTGCGATCTCTTATGTTTCCAGATGAATGCTTGCATCGTTGTTTCCATCTCTGAAAAGAACATTGAGATTTTGATCGGGACTGTATTGAATCTAGATATTGCATTAGTAATATGGCCATTTTGATTGTTAATTCTGCCAATCAAGGAAGATGACAACTTTCCACATTTTATGTCATCTTCCTGTCATCTTTGACGTAGCCATGCAGCACCTTGTTCTACATATCAGAAGTGAAAAAGAAGACCCATAATCATTCTTTTCAGTAGATCCTGTGTGAAAAAATGACCACAATTCACCGTTTTTCCATATGTCCACCAGAAGAAGCACCACTAAGGGAATTAGGAAATAAACACAGCCAGATTCAAATGGCCTGATGTGAGTGAGTGAAAGACATGAACTCAGAGTCTGAATGTCCTAATTGAAAGATTGAAAGAAATACTGTATTTGTCTCTTCCCAGTGTTTTTTTCTGGAAGTTTTCTGCCACGACAGCTGTGTCTGACATCCCACAATCAAATTTCTAACAGAAAAAGTTTGTCCAGAAACATGTTGAAGGTGCTTATAAGTCATAAAGAGAGAAGGACAGAAGACTACGGACAGACTGGTTAATGAATGTGGAGTATTGGCTGGGAGAAGCAAGTTCTGATCTTCCATCACTCAGTGACTACAGATGAGGATACTGTGTTGCATATTAAAAAATAATAAAATGCTAGTAGACAGGCAAGGCAGCAGCATCCAAAAGCAAAGGTCAAGACAGGTGAGGGGCTTTGCTGAACTGTGTTAGAGCAACCATTGGCATGTTTAAGGTCTTTAGCTGGGAATAGGCCTGGTTGAGGAGCTAAGAGAATGCCCTGGTGGGGTTTTGGTTCCCACTGGTAAGCATGAGAGCCAGAATAGAGTGTGATCTGGTATGAACATGACTGCAGTGTCTCTCTGCAAGCTTGGGGACTGGTGTGCCAGACTGGGATAAACTCCAGCACCTACTGGTGCTCATGAGAATCAGGGTAGGTGTAGGACAGCCTGGGCAGAGAACATAAATGAGCTAGGTCTGGGAGTGCACCAGGTGTAGCTGGGCTGTAACACCCACCAGTGAGAATCGGAATGGGTGTGAGCTGGTCAGGCAAGGCTACTGCTGCTGCTAGGACAGGAGGTGGACTAAATCAGGCTGGGCCATGGACCCACCCTTGCACATGACATCTGGCATTGGGAGGGGTTCTGATGGAGGAATTTGGGTAACCCCTCTGTCAGTCTGCAGCTCCTGCACATGAGTGCAAGAGCCAAGGCAAGGAACATACCTTCTTCTTGTGCAACTCAGACCAGGCCAGGTCACAGTACCCACTGGCTTACATATGGCTCATGTCTTGGAGAGAGCCAGGCTGAACCAGTTCATATCACCCACTGGCAGAGCCAAGAATCAGAACGTAGTGCAGGACAAGTTGGGTTGGGCCACAACAGCAGCCAGTTCATGTGAGGGCTAGGACTTGGGGCTAGCTGGGCTGTGCTAGGTTGTAACCTTTACCAGCATGAGCTGAAACTAAGAATGGCAAATGCTGAGGTGAAGCAGGCCATTCCAGAATGGCCCACAGCACCCAGCTAGCACAGTTGAGATCCAGTGGGAGGGTCTGAGCCCTGTAGGGAGCTGCAGGGGCCTCCCCTGCAGGGCCACTGCTTCTACTGGTGAATATAAAAGCTGAGATCAGGGGAAGAACAAGCTTGAGAATGCTACAAAACCTATTGCCCTCATGTGAGCTGGGTTAGTGATAAAGCCAGGCTGTACCTACTGGTGCATGCATAAGCCAGAGGGTGAGGGTTGATTTGGCTTTGCTGTAATATCAGCTGGCAAGTGCTGGTACTGGGGGCAAGTCTTGCCAAGGTTAACTGCAGAATCACCTGGAGAGCACAAGATCTGGGAGTGGGAGTGGGCCAGTAGGGAAACTGTGGGCACCGCTCTCTTGGTTGGCCACTCCCACTGGTGAGCATGAGAACCAGGGCTGGGGAAGATATCACTAGATAGAGAGTGGCACCCACCGGCACAAGTGTGGGCTGGAAAGTATGGCTGGTTGGGTTGAACTAGGCTTCAATTCCCATTGACATGTTTGAAAGTTTAGTGGGATGTGGGACAGACTAGACCAGTGTGCTGTACATACTGGCAAGCACAGGAAACAGCAGGGGGTGGGCCAAGTATGGGTTATTGGGTGTCACTCTAACTAGGCTACATCACCCTCTGGTATACACAAAGCTGAGTGTGTGGTTTTGTGTGGTATACACAAAACCCAGGATCGGGCTGGGTTGTAACACCCATTGGTTTGTGTGGAAGACAGAGCTGGAGATAGAACTGGCCCACCAATTGAAACCACTAGTGTATGTAGGCTGATGTGGCCAACAGACTGAGCCAAACCATGAATTGGCAAGCACACACAGCAATCAGACCTGGGATCACCTCAGATGAGGTTTCTTTAGGAATTCCACCAACTGAACCACTGGACTCAGAACTCTAACCATGGGGAGAGTTGCAGGTCCCATGGTCTGACCATGGAGTGCATGTGTCAGAGGTGAGTCTCCTCAGTGGCTTAAATGGAGGAGTCGAGGGCACACCCAGATGCATATGGAAGCTGTGGCAGTCCACTGGAGCTTCCAGAGGACTTCTGGTACCGTAGCACAGGAAGGGGAACAGAGCAAGTTGAACAACTACCCCAGTAAAGTCTTGACAAAGAGTATTTGGGCAAATGGAGACTCTGAGGTGGACTATGTCAGCCAGTAGATCCTGGAGGGATTTCATTGTGCTTGGAGTGGCAAGATCAACAACAATTCAGAACTTTTGAATTATCAAAACCACTTGAGTGGGACCCTTAAAGCATGCCCCACATTGGGGACCCTGAGATGACATCAGGTGGCAGTCTCCCATCCCAAGATACAGATGTGGTTTGGAGGCTGAATGTTGCTTCTGCCCTTATTTCCCCCCTTCCCCCCAAATACAGGAACACAAGGGGGAAAAAAAGGATGTGGAAACAATGGTCTCACCCACTTTCCTCTAAACTTTGACCCTTCCCACCCCAATCAAATGTGTAAACATCATCAAAAATAAAATTTAAAAAAACCTGAGGATATTATTTTTATGAGTCATTTTTTTCCTGGAAATGAAATCCTATTAAGTTATAGCATTGGTACATCTTTAAAGTAAGTGTTAAAGTAAACATATCTTAAGGGAATGAAATGTGAAACCACAAAAAATATATAACATTTAAAGAGGAAAAAAATACAATTGCTGGTTAGATGGAAGAGAGAACATAGACCCATCATGTCTTATTAGGAATTGCAATTTATGCAAACATTACATCTTAACTGTAGTACACAGAATCTTCAAGAAGATTACAGGTTATGTTCCTCTCTCTTACTCTGCAATCTCCAGGAGTTTATGAGCTAGAAGCTAGTGCCATAAGGGAAAAGATTTATGAAAGAATTGGATGGCTAACATGTCAGAACTGTCACTCATTTGACACAATCACCCTGCTCAAAACAGGGCACTCCTTCTTCACTTGGGGCACCAACTTATTTGCTAAATTCCTTAAAGCCCCAGGCACCATATCTAGCAAGATGATAAGATTTCAACATTTTATCATACAGCAAGTTAAAACTTGCTTATACACATTTATACATATTCTTCAATGATATAGAGACCCTTTACAACCACCCATTTAAGTATCAGAAGACAGAAAAATATGATATCCTTTTATTTATATCTATCCAAAAGCACAATGAATTAGAGAAGAATCACATAGTAAGCCAATCATTGAAGATCTGAAGATGTTTTAAAAAGTAGAAGCGAAAAATAGGTGAGACAGCATGGAATACATTAAAAATTCTACAAATTTTTAGGTCATTGTTGCTTTTTTGCTGTTGAGTGCTATACTGTGTTGAATATTCTTAGCATTAGTCTTCCTGAAACAGTACTTTTGGTGAGCCTGAATATTGTAAGGAAGGTGATAAAACACAGCCTTATAGCTTGGGCTTGTCAGAAAATCCAATGAATGACCCTTTTTTTGTTTTCTCAAACACAATAATCTGGAAAGAAATAACAGTAAAAAAAAAATTAGGATTTGTGAAAAAGCCACATGATTAGATGAATGGTGCAATTCAGATTCTGAGAATGAATATCAATCTCAAACTGGGTACTGCGATGACTCACCTCATTGTCTTCTGGGTGAAGCCAGACCCCGGGCAGGTAAAGTGTTTTCTGAGGTCCAATATGCCAGTATCTCCCAAGGTTCCTTCCATTGATAAACACAAATGCATAATTCCAACCCTGGAAAGATGGCGACATGAGGTACAGGATAAGTTTCACGTTGTCATGGTGAATCTAACACACTGGAGGCTGAAGTACAAGATTTAGGAGCATTAATGAAGGGAACAAGAACATAGATTTAGGATGAGAAATGTTCCAGAGCTTCTACCCAGATGTCTACAAAAAAGGTTAAAGGGCAGTAGAAGTGAGCTTCAGGAAACATGAGTGTAATAATACCTCCCTGGTATGCTGATTTCACTTATTCAGGGTAAATACCCAGAAATAGGAAGGCTGGACCATATGGTAGTTTTATTTTAAGTTCTCTGAGGAATCACCATACTCTTGTGTAATTTATGTTTTGTTTACATTCCTACTAATGTTGTGTTAAGGTACAATTTCTCTCCACAAACATACGAAATGAACATTTTCAGATCTGATTATTGTTAACAGTCTTAGGTTACATTCTTGAGTAATTACTTTTCTGTTTCTACTTGAACTTTTGCTTTAGGTGGGGTTAAACCTATGACAAGTAAGAGGAATTAAAGTATGTCACTGTAAAATATTTTAAGAAAATAAAGCAAGAGGGAGAGAAGGGTTAGAAATAAGACTATGCCTTCGAGCTTGATTTGAAACATGCACAATGTATGTTCACACTTTATGAAAACAAAAAGAATAGAAAGAAACCTTTACGGCTAATTTGATTAGTATTGTAGGCATAGTAAGTTTCTGAGAATGAAGATGGAGAAATAGGGAAAGGATATATTTAAATAGATGGAGAAACATTAGCCAGGGTGAAGCAGAGAGAGCACGTTCCAGGCAATAGGAGGGGATAGACAGATGGCAGAGGGGCACCTGGAGAGTGACAGATATGCAAAAGCACTGAAGACAAGGGTATGGGCTTGTAGTAACCAGATAACCCAGCAGCATTCAGCAAGCGGTGATCTGAACTGCATCAGTGGCTGGAACTCCACCAGAGGCCAGGTGGGAAGGGGCATTAACCAAAAGCTCAGGTGGCAAACTGAGACAAAGCACTGCCCATACTCCTGGATTGTTTGAATTGACCAGGAGCAGAGACAGAACAACAGATTCAAAACAAACAGTGTGATAACAGGGTGAATTGTACACTAGAGCTGAACCAGGCATCATTTTGTGTAGGGAAGCAAAGGCTATGGGACAGGACTGCACACACACTAAGCTGGGAGCAAACTCATTTCTGGCTCAGTGAATTGCAATGAGGTGGCATCTCACAGGTTCCACCCAAAATAGGTCCAGGTACTCCCATATCTAACAGCCAGTAGATCAAGAATTCCATGAGTGACACACCAGTTCCCATTTTTGTACAGTGTGGCAAAGGATTTGAGACTGCAGGAACAACAGTGTGCTGAGCTGGGAGTGAGCTAGTTGAGCTCAGTACGTTGTACTGGGTACCACTCACTTGAGGGAGTGGCACAAGTGACTGCAAATGACAACAACAACAACAAAAAAACCTGTACTAATTGTCATAAGTAAAATCAAATTGTAGACTTGTCTGTGAGACAGTTTAGAAACCTATCCTAAGGAGAAGAATCTGATAACCAGAAGTACAATGACCAAGAGCAAAAGGAGAAACAAAGGCCCAATGAATAATATTGAACACTCCCCCCGTCAACGGAGCAAAAGCCTTTGCCAAGCTCAAAGTTAGCTGAGCAATACATTGAGAAAATGAAGAATACAGAATTCAGACAACTCGTTTTAGAACTTCTAAGTTCAAGGATTTTAAAGAATGTGTCGCACAGGAAATAGCAACACAGAAACAAAATTAGGCAAAATCATTGGGAATGAGGGATGCAACAGAGTAAACTAAAAATCCCATGAGTGAATGAGGCAGAAGAAAGAATCTCTGAGTTGGAAGATATTTCTTGTCACAATGGGAAACAATCAAAAGGCTGAAAGCAAAGCTAGGTAAAGCTTTAAAAAAAGTCTATAAAAATTAACAGGTGTTATTAAAAGGCCAAATACAAGAATTATGGGAGTTTCAGAAGGTGCAGAAAGAGAAGCTAGGTTTTAAAATGTATTTAATGAAATAATTAAAGAAAATTTCCTTAATCAGGAGAAGGACTTAGGAAACAATATCCAGGAAGGGCACAGAACTCTCCATAGGGTTGACCAAAAGGAATCTTCATCATGACACATGATAATCAAGCTCTCTTCAGCCAAACATAAAGAAAGGATCCTTAAATGTGCAAATGAAAAAAAAAAACAATGGATATATAGAGGAATGGCAATTAAATTCAAAGCTGACCTCTCACAGGAAACTATAAGCCAGAAGGGAATGCAGTGACATATTCCAGATACTGAAAGCAAAATTGGTCGGCCCAGGATAATGTACCCAGCAAAGCTTCCCTTTCTCTTTGAAAATGAAGCAAAATTCCTCCACAGTCAAGACAAGTTAAAAGAATTTGCCTCTTTCAAACCTCTTACATATTTAAACATGCCCTCTCCTTTTAAAAAAGAAGTATATTTTTTATTGGAAAGTCAGATATACAGAGAGGTGGAGATACATAGAGGAAGATCTCTCATCCATTGATTCACTCCCCAAGTAGCCACAATGGCTGGAGGTAAGACAATCCAAATCCAGGAGCTTCTTCCGGGTCTCCCACGCAGGTGCAGGGTCACAAGGATTTGAGCTGTCCTCCACTGCCTTCCCAGGCCACAGGCAGGGGCAGCCAGGATTAGAACCAATGCCTAAATGTGATCCCAGCTCATGCAAGGTGAGGACTCTAGCCACTAGGTTACTGTGCTGGGCCCAAAGATGATCTCTTGACAGAGAAGAGGAATAGCACCCACCAAAACCAAAGGCCAATGTAAAGAACATCCCAGCAAAATAACAGCAGCAGAATAAATCCATAAACAAACCATCGCTAAAATGACAGGACTAAATTACCACTTATTTATATTAACCCTGAATGTAAATGGCTTAAACTCATCAATCAAACATCAAAGATTAGTAGACTGAATTTAAAAAGCAAAATCCTTTACTCGTTGCCTATAAGAGATACATCTTACCGGGCCTGGTGGTGTGGCCTAGCGGCTAAAGTCCTCGCTTTGCACGCCCGGGATCCCAAATGGGCACCAGTTCTAATCCCGGCAGCTCCACTTCCCTTCCAGCTCCCTGCTTGTGGCCTGGGAAAGCAGTCAAGGACGGCCCAAAGCCTTGGCACCCTGCGCCCGTGTGGGAGACCCAGAGGAAGTTCCTGGATCCTGGCTTCAGATTGGCATAGCATCAACCATTGGGCTCACTTGGGGAGTGAATCATCGGATGGAAGATCTTCCTCTCTGTCTCTCCTACTCTCTGTGTATATGACTTTCCAATAAATAAATAAATCTTTAAAAAAAAAAAGAGAGAGAGATACATCTTACCAACAAAGATCAGTGGAAACTATATCATGGAACTTGATGTATTTGTTTTTATTTTCATTTCTTCAAAACACTTTTTCACATATTAAGTTCTTCACTTACTCATAGGTCATACAGTGGCATTGTTTTCTGCAAGCAGATTATTGGTTTTCTTTTTCATTTCTTCAGCGACATGTTAGTCATTCAGTAGCATGTTATTTAACTTAAGGGAGCTGTAATTTTTTTTCTTTCTGTTCCTGATTTTGTTTTGTGGCTTTGCATTTAAGGGGATGTATTCTAACTGTATAATGGAGACTATCATATCCAGCAGCATGCTATTTAATTTCTGTTTTTCTTTCTGTTACTGATTTTGTATTGTGGCTTTTCATTTAAGGGGGTGTAACTGTGTAATGGAGCCTATCATACCCAGATGTGAGGATAGAATGCAGTATGCATCTCTCCTTCCAGATCAAAGATGGATTCCCAATGAAACTGTTCAACATATTTTGACAAAGGGATGTGGGACTCTCTAATGGACTTATGACTATGCTATTATGATAATATAGGAGAACTCAGTGGGGAGGGATGGGGGAGGGATTAAGGGAAATCTCAGGGCTAATGGATCTGTATCACAAAATTATAATAATAATAGAAAAGGAAAAGCAGGTTTCTATTTCCAAAAATATGTATTATGCAACAAAGACTCTGCTCCCTAGCATGTCTAATGTTAATCATGTCATGCATGGGATAATCATCAAAAGCAGAAGGTGATGGAATCATAACATCATAAAAGCATAAGGTGAAACAAAAGAGAAATCATGGAGGAAGTGATGATACATTGCAGATTATCAACAGCGAGTTGTAACATCTGCTAGTATCAAAAGCATGATTTTTTTTCATGCAGTCAATACTATGAGTGATACAGTGAGCTATGTCATGATGGTGAAATTCTTAATTTAGCAAAAAGGTATATGCTGTTTGTAAGGAAAGCCCTAAGGATAGTTGAAAAAATGCAAAGCCAAGTGGAAAAATGAAAGAATATGTAAATAAATTCACAATCGGAGAATATTCACACAGTCATAGACTAGTTTGTAGAAATCAATGAAAAGAACAAATTTTGAATAAAAAGATTCTTGCCTCCCTTCTACATAGTGCATATGAGGCAATTATTTAACAAGTAAATGATCCACATAATTCTGAAGTGTTCATAAGAATATTTGCAAATATTACGCCACGTTGAGTAAACAAGTCTACGTATTTAAAGCCTATCATTCTACACTGTAATTAAACATGAAAATAATTAAAATATAACCTAAGACATACCCATAACCTTGAAAATTAAGGAAAAATGTCTAGGTAACCCATAAATCAAATAATCACAACAGTACAAGTTTAACAATATTTCAAAACTTTACCGGGCCCAGAGCAATAGCCTAGTCTTTGCCTTGCACAGACTGCGGTTATAAATGGGCACTGGTTCTAATCCCAGAGGCCCCCACTTCCTATCCAGCTGTATGCTTGTGGCCTGGGAAGGCAGTTGAGGATTAACCAAAGCCTTGGGACCCTGCACCCACACGGGAGACCCAGAAGAGGATCTTGGCTCCTGGCTTCAGATCAGCGCAGCTCTGGCTGTTGTGGCCGCTTGGGAAGTTAATCAATGGGGAGAAGATCTTCTCCTCTGTCTCTCCTTCTGTCCCTATATCTGACTTTCTAATAATAATAAAAGGAATCTTAAAAAAATATCTTTGCCAAGAGTAAAATAACTGAAAACTGTGGGACACAGAGTATCTACAACATGTGCAGCAGGACCTTATGTAAGCCAGGAAGGAGTTAAATGCTTTATCTGAACTGTCAAAAGTACAAACAAGGAAATGAGGAATATTAACTCACTAAAACGAGTTTCAAAAATGAGAGAAAAGGTGGGCATTCGACCTAGTGGTTAAGTCGCCCTTTAAGAAAGCCATATTCCTTATTACAATGTGGAGGTGTTGGAAAGAATAAAGAAAACATTCCTTAAAAGAGTAAAATTAAAAAGGAAAGGTATAAATGATCCGTAACAACCTTTCAGCAGTGGATGTCACTGCTCAGTTTGAAGGTTTAGTTCATCGTCAATGCTGTAGTGCAACGGACCAGGCACACATTGAGCTGTTCCTTTGACGTTCCGGCTGCTCTTCTTTGGACCCAGCTTCCTACTAATGGACCGATTTGGCAAGTGTGATGACCCCGTTCCTTTGCCCATGCTATCCACTTGCGAGGCTGGGAAGGAGTTCCCGTGTTCTGGTTTTGATCTGAACGGACGTGGGTGTTGAAATCTTACAGGATTGAAACATAAAATAACTGCTCTCTCTCCCTTTCTCTCTCCCTCCTTCCATTTCTTTTGGAGATAAAAGCAAAAATCAAGGAAATGAAATTGAATACAAAAGGTAGGTGAAATTAAGAATTGAAATTTTCCAAATATGGATAATGTTTAACTTTAGATAGGCTAACAAAATAAATGCCCAAATAAATGAAGTCCAAAGTAAAAAAAAAATAAGCAATTGCAACTAAGACAAAGAAAGACAAAGGATCCACAGAAAGACAAAGGATCATTAGTTAGCATTGTGAACAAGTATGTGGTGTAATATAAAACCTGGCAGGAATGGAGGCATATATTATCTATGCAGATAACCATAACCATGGTTTCATAACCATGGGACACAGAACCAAACAATACTGAGTCCATAATGGAAAAGAACCCAATAGAGAGAAGCTCAAGCAAGCCTAATTTTCAATCAAAAATTAAGAAATAAAGATATTGTAAATATATCTTGTTTATATATATAATGTGTATATATAATGTATAATGTATTATATAAAATATATCATATTACATGTAAATATAATGTACTATCCTATATTTTATATATAATATATTATATGATATATTTATATACCAGATATAAAATATTTATATATTACACATTGCATGTTATATAATAATATTCTATATAATACATTAATATGAAAATGATATATTATTATATTATATAACATATAATAGAACAAACACAGAAGCATGTTGACCTTTTATTTGGAAGAGTCATATCCATTCTTGTCAGTCATCCCGTGAAGGAAATGAGGAACTGCTAGCTGCAGACAGATTTCCTTGTGAGATGTACTGAATCCTGATCACACAGCACTCCTGAAACCCTGAGTCTCATTCCCGAATCATTTATTAGAACCTAAGCCTTGATATCAAGCCTGAGAAACATGTCTCCGTGCCAAACATAAATGTAAAAGAATCTTAATTTCCTAAGCTAGTCCAACCCTGGCGATCATCAAACTCTCCTTCAATAGTAGAATCCTGAATAATAAAGGGTAGTATATTCATTTTATCTCTGTCTTTGTGGACAATGTCAGGATGCAGTTAAATAGCAGAATGATGGACTTGTGACTGCTGCTGAAGGACTGTACTATTGCAATAATCTCCGGGAAAACAGTGAGGGGGTGGATGGTGAAATCCCTGAGCCTATGAAATTGTGTCATGAAAATTTTTTTAAAAGTTAAAAATGTTATACAGCATTGAAAAAAATGAACAAAAAACCTAGAGAAATGATTGGGTTTCACAAACAATGATGAATAAAAGACACAATACTAAAAAGAATGAATACCTTATAGTTCAGTTTCCATAATCCAAAATAGGAAGCACTGAACAAGAAGTAAAAATGACAGCTATATTTGGTGGAAAAGTAATCCTAAAATTATACTTTGTATCTCAATGATAAGTATGAGATGACAATTCTGTGATTGTGATTTGGAACATTTATGTTACTGTTGTGCATTATACATAAAGCAATATACCAGATTAAAAACTAAACTGCCTCCTTCTCAAAAATTCAAGTAGCAGAGTAGAGTCTGCAGATGATGCCAGTGGTATAAAACAAGGGCACGTATATTTTACTAATGTCACGCGTGTAAACACAGGCTGGTTGGAAGTGTGGACCCAAAGTATTATACCATTCTCTCTTCACATCTTGTTATTTGATTTTTCGATGGCATTTCAACATATTATTTTCTTGAACAATACTAAATTAGGAAGATTGAGAAAACGTGTGAGGTTTGTTTGGCAGTGAGGAAGAAGATGGAGGCATGGAAGCGACACAGAATATGAAATAATATGGTTTTAAGACTAATTTTTAAAATCATTTACTTATATCAATTTGAAAGGTAGAGTTACAAAGATAGAAGGAGAGAGAAAATTTAGAAGGAAACAGAGTGGGAGGAGGGGAGAGAGGGTGAGAAAAAGAGAGATCTTCACATCCTAAATTGTTTCAACACTGGAGGTGGTATCAAACTGTAGGAAGGAGCATGGGCATTCTTCCAGATATCCCCATGTGTGCACGGGGTCCCCAACATCTGGGCATTTGGGATACATCCCATTGGTTCCTCAGGCCCACTGGAAGTGGAACAGCCATTTTTCATACAGGCACTCACAGGGAATGTTGATGTCACAGGCAGTGGCAAAACAGGCTACACTACCACCTCAGGATAACACTAGCTTTAAAAATCAAACAAGTGGGCACACGAAGAGGTCCACTTACAGGTAGACTCAGGAAGGTGTCTTTGGGAGAAGCGCCGGCTTTCAGGGTCCCCCTGTAGAAGGCAGGACCTATATGGCTATCTGTGATGGACCTCCAGGTGGCAGAGCGGAGTCTGAAAAAAGAACCAAGATGTGAAGGAAAGGAAAACTGAACTCTAGCCTCCAACTTCACATCACCTTGCCCCATGGGATCAAAGATTCTGCTTCAATGATATGAGTAAAGCAGGAAGCACTGGACTAGGAATTGGGCTTATTCTTGTAGTTATTCCGAAGTAACTAAAAGCATAGACTCAATTCCTTCACTTCTCTGAGCTTCCAGAACATTCTCTGCAAAGTGAATAGGTTAGAAACGCAGTCAGCTGATCGCTAAAAGTGGCCACTGAGTTTGGGCAGGGACATACCTCTCAAGGAAGTTCATTTTCATTTCCAAGCAGTAGATGTTAAAGCCCTTCAGAATCACTCCATTGAGAGTAATAGTTTCAGTTATTCCTGGGAAAGGGAGGCAGAAAAGGGACTATGAAGAAATAAAGATTGACACTCTCCAGCGTCTAGGGTAGGTAAATGCATCATAGAGCACAGCCAGGCCACACACTTGTCTCATGCTGTGAGAGCAAGTTTCCTTGCTTGATTTTTCAACACTCCCAATAAGTTGCCCACCTGGCATTGAAACGCCCTAAAACTCTGCACAGAAGATTGATGTGGTCAAGGACATTAAAATGTGCACATACTTACCTTCGTGCGCTGGAGAATAAGAGGAGATAGAACCAGGACGAAGAGAAATTTTTTATCTTAGAACCTCAGTGTCTAACCATGGAGGTCCTAATTACTACTTTCCCAACATAACTCAAAGTTCATGTTCCAAGTAACTGAAGAGAAGCTGGTGCCTGATTTCCAGGCCTAGAGCCTACCTTTCTGCTCAGTTTGCATTCTGTCTGAAAAAGCCACCCGTCCTTGATTCTCCACAAGGATCCTGAGAAGTTGACAACCCTATTTGGAACAGAACAATGCGTGGCAGTTGTTTAGTAAGGCTGATTTTTTTCCCCCTCTAGAATGTACTCTTTTGTTGGAGTCTCAGAGAAAAAGACATGCAAATGGATGAAAATGGCTTCACAAGTAACAGTGGTCCCATTCTCATAAGGACTGATATATATATATTGCTCTTCTCCATATAAAATATCCCCACCATCCTCCACAGGTCCTATTAGAAGCAGCAAAGAAACATGGCTATTCCTTTAATCAAGAATCCAAATAAGGACTTGGAACAAACTTCTAATGGGGAATTGCAAGTCATAGATAAGACAATAGTTACTAATGGATGCTGTCCTGGGAGATACATCATGCTCTGCTGATGCCTGAAGTGAGAAACAACACCAAATGTAGTTTAATAGCAAGGGGAAAACCTTTAGGAGGAACAGATTACTCTGGCATTTCATTTGGTGAAGTAGGACTTTGAAGTTACCTACCGTGAATGCTGGAATGTCCACATTCGTAAGCTCACTATTAATAGACGCTAGTACTGTGTCGTTAAGAAAAACCTGCACAAAAAGGCAGCCAGTGTTAGACACAGAGACACGTACAGAAAGGTTCTTATGAAGTCAGGGTTAGCTCTGTTGCATCATGTTGCAATAGAATTTGAAGTGTGTAAAAGAAGGAAAGTTTGACTTTGTATTCCTAATTCCCCCCACATCAGAGATAATGTCAATGCAATCAAAAATGCTAATGTTGATATGTGACTAAGCGCCTTCTCCAATGGCAGAGGTCTGCTAAGCATTTGCTGATCCAAAGTGGTAGTCTGAAGACACTTACCTCTCCAATATCACTAACATGGACATGCAGAAGGCCTCCAGAGCAGATTTTAGTCTCATAGAGGATGAATCCAAACGACTGTCCACTTCCATTATTTAAAGGAAGATTTTCCATGTTGACTGGAAGATTCAACTTGAATGGCTATGAGAGAGACATGGCAGCAAAAAGCTGCCAAACTAATGAAAAGTCAGGAGACTTCTTTTAAAGCTATTTTTCACATTATATTGTATCGTATAATAGTCCCCAAGATTTCTTTGGGAAATGAAAGGAGACACTGTGTGATAATGCTCCTGTACTTTCACCTTCAATGACTAGGAGGTGCTGGTAATGGTGGAAGCATACTGAAGAGGCAACATTGGCTGTAACATCATTAATCTCTCATTAATACTGAGGGTCACACATGTGGGTCAACAAGACCAGACTTGTCCCCATTAGTCTAGAGAAAATGATGGGCACCCCTCACCCACAGTCTAATGCACCATGCTTAGAGGTGACAGGAAAACTGTCCTTTCTGCAAGAATGACATGCTTTGTAGGTTATGGGATAATTGCACAACCTCTGGAGCCTAGGCCATGACCCATTTGCACATATCACCAGCTTTGAGTTATAGATGAAGAAGGCACACAGGCATTGCACTAAGCACCCTATCTGTAACAAAAGCCAACACAGCCCAACTGATACTGGAGACATCATGAACAGAAATGATGATACTATAAAAGCTACCCAATAAAATTGGTAGAGATAATTAATGTAGCAAATCCATAAAATCAAACTTGGACCACAGGATCATTAAAAAGACAAGTTAATATGATGCTTCCCAAAGAAACCAGCAGCATTAGGAAGAAGAAATGGAGATAAGAATGTGTCTGACAGCACAACATACAACAACAAAGACCTGGACAAAGCCCAAAATGCCTTGCAAAAGATAAAGAAATTGTGGTACATCTACTCCATCGGAGACTACTCAGCCATGAAAAACAATGAATGAAATTCTGCCATTTACAACAAATTGTCCCAGCTAGAGATCATTATACTCAGTGATATATGCCAATCACCAAAGACAAATATTATATGTTTGCTGATTTAAGGCAACCTCCACGTAAAAGACAAGATGTATAAATACAGGTATAGATCTACATATACATATATTCTCATAAATGAGCTGTAAAATTGAGACCAGCATACCAGGAGAGAAGATACGTTGCAGAACGTATCTCTATTCCCCAGTAGAAGGACTGCCAATGAAACTGTTAAATATACCTGGATAACAGGATTTTAAACTGTCTACCATTGTCTGTACCTATGATGCCATAAAACACTTGAATAACAGAATGATGATCTTCCAGCTGTTGTTGAAGAACTATAATATTGTAATACAATGAGGGATCTCAGAGCTGTGGAATAATGGAAGGTAGAGAAAGGATTCCTTGTGTCTATGAAACCATACCATGAAAAAAAATTTTTAATCAAAAGATTTTGTCTGACAAAAAACTCAATGTAGTGACACTGAAATACAAGATATCAGCAACAGAAAATTCAACACCATTTGGAAGAAATTTCATGATATGTAATTGAGAAATGCATAAAGCAATTTGGTATTATAAAACATAAACAGAAAACATGGAGCTTAAAAAAACACAAAATAAAATGAAATAGAACAAAATAAAATAAAACGTGGTTGACACCCTCACTAGCTAAGTTGGGCTGGCACAGGAAAAAGTTCTTAGTTTGAAGATAGGTTATTTGAAACATCTATATCAAGAAAAAAAAAATAGAAAAGAAAAAAAAATTGGGGAAGAATGGAAAAACTTTATTCAATGCATAGGCCATCATTAAATGACCATCATTGTTGGTTCAGCAGGAAGGATGAAGAAATATAAACACAATCAAAATGTGGCCAATAAAATACTTGTTGAGAACTTTCCAAATTTGAGGTAGAATGCGATGAAATAATTGTTGAAAATTTTCCAAATTTGAGGTAGAATACACTCAAAGGACAAGTAAAAGTGACAAAATTCATTGACAGATTGTCAAAAGTAAGAACATAGAATTTTCAAAACAGTATATAAGTATAAAAATAAAATTATGCTATCACAGATAAAGGAACCATCAAACTAACAGCAGAAAACTTAATAGAAATCATATAAACCAGGTAAAATTGGGGTGATACAGTCAGATTCTTGAAAGAAAGATATCCAGTCAAGAATACTGTTTCAAGTAAAGTTATCCAAAGGAAATGAATGAAAAAAAAGACTTTCTAGTACAAGTAGAAATGTAAGGAATTCATCATTTCCAGAGTGTTCTGTAAGAAATACTCAAGACAATCTTACAGTATAGTTAAAAGGACAACAGCTGCCATCACAAAAACACAAAAGTAACAATCTCACTAGTGAAATAGATATGCAATAAAGAAGATGAAAATCAAGCTTTGGTAACAGCAAATGATAGAAATAGTTAGATTAATAGTAGAAACTCAGATTACCATAATGGTAATTTCAACTAGGGAAGGCTGGTGAAAGAAATGTTGAAAAGGTGCATTCCAAGGTTTGCGTTAGGTAGGGGTCCACCACAGAAATTGGAAGAGGATTGAGAAACCTTGTGGAGCAGTGTAGATGATGCCAGTGTAAATGGTCATCCAGCAGCAAGCAGACACCACAATAGGACCAAAAAGACAGCAGTTCTGGAGAGACAGGTGGGTCAGAGTCACTGAGATACTGCCTGGAGAGAAATCTCTCAGACCACAACGACTCCCAGTTTAGACTGAAGCTAGAGTAGAGGGAAGGGCTGTGGTGGGTTAACATGCGGGTGGCAGAAACTTCTTTAATCTCATTATCCCACAAAGCACCTGGACCAGTGGGGAGCAGGTGCAGTATGAAGATGGCCTGAAGCAGTCAAGAGTAATTGCTAATACATATAAATCAGTAGTATCAATGAAAACTGTGGTTGCAGGCTCTACCTAGGCACACACATTCCCTCTTTTGAGTCTGGGTTGGTTTCCTGACAGGTGGCAGCACACACATTTGTTACTGTGAAGAACACATTCATTTCACTATCCAACAGGCCCCACAGGGAAGATGAGGTCCCAACATTCCTTGGCATCTGGAGCTGGGAATGCCGCTGCTATCTTGGCAGCCAAGGGATGCTCTGGGGCCGAGGGAATCCTGAGCAATGTCTGACAGTGGGGGTTTTCTGTGCCAAAATGGTGGAGACTCTATGATGGCATAATAATATGTGTTGTGTAGCTGCGTCTCCAGGCACTCAAAGAACTGCACAGATCTTTTGCATGGTATCTGTCCTGGTCTGAGTGAGGAATGTACCTGGTCTGGGTAAACCTGGACATTGGACACCGTGAAAGAGAAGACATGACTGTGACTACACTAACAGTCATGGTCATTGCATCCCCTATGCTGAGCAAATAGAAGATATATCATGCCCAAATCGGGTGTTAACCTGTGAGTCTCACTCAACACTTAAGCACTGACCAGAGTATGCAAGACATACCCTATCTGCACCTCCAAAACCCTCTGAAAAAATAATCACTCCACCAGTCCATAGAGGCATTATTTTCTCCAGCAGAGGACAAAAAACAATAGTGCTTCCAGAAAAGCCTAAAAATAAACATAGGAATACAAGGAACAAAAACAAGGAACACAGTGTGACTCCCCCAAAAGGAACAGGACAATGTTTCAATTGTGAATAAGAGACTGATGAACTATCTGAAAATGAATGGAAAAAATCACGAGAATAAGCAAAAGAACACAGAACAAGTTATTGAGATAAAATTATAGATGACATTGATGAAAAATTATGCATTACAATTGAGATTTTGAGACAATTGAAATGGAAATAATAGCAATGGAGAATTCAAGACTCCAAATACAAAACAGAGTGGGACATCTCAGCCACAGACAGTATGAGGCAGAAGAAAGAAGACCTGATATAGAAGGTCAACCCTTGGCAATCAAAGGTGAAATATTAGAAAACTCATAAGTTCTCAATATATATGCACACAAGATAAGTAGCAGCTCATTTTTAGAGGATCACAATTAGACTAACATTTGATTTCTCATCAGAAATCTTAAGGAGTAGGAGAGAATGAAGACATATAGTCTATAATCCAAGAATTTAAAATAAAATAAAAATTGTCAACACAGATTACTTTTCTATCAAATAAATGAAGGCAAAGTAAATACCTTCCAAAACAAACAGAAAGATGAAATTATTTGCCATTATCTGTCCAGCCCAACAAATGTTGGTAAGGATGTAGTGCACGCAGAAATAGAGAATTGATATTCACCATAATAAAAATCAATATGAAGAGAGGAAATCTCCCGGTAAAATGTACAAAGGAAATTCCAAGAAAACCTTGAGGATTTATGAAACAATGGTACAAAACATTGTTACACTTAAATAATAATAATCACTTCAAGTGGTTTATACTCTCCAGTCAAACGATACAGACTGGAAAAATTAATTTAAAAAGACTCAGCTATATTCTGCCTTCATCAGCAAGGATATGCACTGAATGAAAAGGAGAGCAAGGCAAAAGATAAAGGAAAAATGAGCATGTGCAGCCATGTAGAAAATGAAAATAAAATCCAACACTACATTTTACATTTCAGTCACATTATCCAATAGAATCTGAGTGGTGTAAATATATTTCAATATGCACGTTAGTAAGCATCATAGAATGAAACACATTAACCATATTATTATCTATTAGATATGTGTAAAAAGTAACATTCATTAATATTAATGATTTAAAACTGTGTATTCAAGGAATATTCCTTAACACAATAAATGCTACTATAACCTACTATTTAACCTACAATACAGATCCTACAGAATGGGGAAAACTAACAGTATTTCCTCAGAGATAAGAAATATAATAATAAACTTCACTTTAGTTTTTTCTAAAGATGTACTTATTTGAATGGCAGTGAAGGACAGAAGAGAGAGAGAGAGAGAGAGAGAGACAGAGAGAGAGATCTTCCACTTGCCAGTTCACTTCCCATTGTCTGAAACCAGAATTCAGGAGCTTCTTCCAAGTTTCCAGTGTGGGTGCAGCCAGTCAAGTGCTTGATTCATCTTGTACTACATTTCCTGGCACAGTGTTAGCAGGGAACTGGGCTGGAAGTGAAACCACCAGGACTCGACTGACAGCCATATAGAATGCCAGAATCACAATGCCTTACTCACTTACTCATGAACAAGTGTACTAAGCTAGAAGTGCAAAACAAAAAAGCTAAAAATAAAATAAAACAGGAGCCAGCGTGGCATAGCTCAAAAAGCCACTTTCTGCATGCTATCATCTAGTATGGGCAGCAAATCATATCCTAGCTGCTCTTCCAATTCACATTCTAGTTAATGGCGGAGGGGAGGGCGGGGGAAACATCATAAATTCTTCCAGGTGCTTGGGGCTCCTGCTACCAATGCTGGAGACTTGAACGGTGCTCCTGGTCCCTGGCTCTGACATTGCCAGACCTCCTGGACTTCTTTAAATAAATGTGTAAATGTGGAATAAAAGAAAATAAGGACAAGATGATGAATTATGCTCTGGGATGCTGTTTCTTTAGGATGTTCAAACTGACAGTCACTGCACTTTGTCCAGAAGGGTAAGGAGGAGCTCAGCTCATTTTGATTTCACAAGCTGATTTTGGAATTTGCGGCTGTTATTCAATATAAGACAGATGTGTAGTTTTCCGGTGTGAGTAAAGACCTGCAGAAGTTGAGTGATGACTGATTGACTATGAATGCTAGCAGACATTCTGTGCTGAAGTTTCAGATGCAGACATTTTAGGGCTTTCATGGTTGTCTCCATTTGGATAACAGTTCCACACGTCAGCTTTCACCACACACCTGAGTCAGGCAACAGGATCCCCCACCCACCAGATAGCCCTTTCCTCCACGTTTTAGTTCAAGATCAAATCCATTTAAAGTCCACTTGGATGGACTGTGATTCCAAGTCTGGATGAAATGCAGAGGCTTTTTATTAGCATTGTTTTGTTTACTTGAAAGCAGAGTGAGAGAAAGAGACTCTTGCACTTGCCAAATCTCAGTCCTTTTGTCTCAATGACTGGGGCTGGAGCCACCAAACAGGAGCCTGGCACCAAGCAAATGCCAAGCAACCAGTTCATCTTCCCCTGCTTTCCTGAGATTATCAGCAGGGAACCAAGCCACCAGGATGTAAAGCAAAACTCTGATATGGGATGCCAAAATTTCAGGGAATGACTAAATTGCCCACACCACAATGCTGGCCCTTACATTTTTAAAACAAAGTTCCTTGGAGGAATCTCTATTCCACAGAGCTAAAAATGTCTTGCCCTTGGCCACCCCTACCCCAATGCCCAAAGAATACTCACCTCATTTAAGTAATGTAGGGTTTCCCACAGTGGCAAATAGTGTAACATACTCACAGGAGGATACACAGACTTGGGAGTAGGATCAGGTAGTGGGGGCAAGGGAATTTCTGAAGTGAAAATAGATCGCAGCATGAGAAGTGTCCAGGACAACTACTGCCTTCTGTAAGAATCTTCACCTATTGTAAGTAAACCAGTGGCAGGAGTCCTATCCTAAAACATGGATATGCTTTTCCAAGAATGATGGTCAGCAGGCAGTTGCTGAGTGAACCCTTTTGAATCTACACATGCCAAGGCACAGAAGCCTGTGAGTTCTAACCCTGGCCATCAGAATGAAACCTTTCAAGAAGCTTTTTGACAGTGCTGGGTTTTCCTTGGTTCTAACTTCAGTATATGGTTAAACAACGCTGTTTAACTGAGCAATAGTTTTCTCTTGTGAAGATGTTACTATGTCACATATTTTATGGAGAACTTTAAAAGTAGGTTTATATAACATTCACCAAAACCCAGGAAACCAGTGCCTTTAATTTGCGTGTCTCATTGGAACCACCAATATACCTGGTCTTGGAAATGCTTCCTCAATGCCATATCCATTGCCCTTGCTTTTATTAACATCGTTAAGCTCTTGCCAATCTCACTCATAAAAACAATGCAGAACCTACGTAACAATGACCATCCTCCACTTAAATGTTGACTGATTACCTGAGAGGGAGCCAAGGAGTCTTCGAAACCTGAAATATTTTTCTGTGTAATCTCCAGCCTCTGTCAGCAAAGCCTCACAGTCTGCAAGACAACCAGAGCCCTGTTCATGGACTTTCAACCCCTGTAGATGTTTCTATGTCTGCATTCGGCATGCAATGTGTCAGACTTATGGGAAATATATGGAAACAACATCTCCTTACCTCCAGAATATTGTAGCCCACACTAAGAATGGGCATGTCATGGAAATATAAGATCTTGTCCCACAACCTTTCCTGGGAAACACTAGCTTCCAGGACATTGGAGTAATCCTTCCATTTCAAAAAATATTGGACATATTTTCTTCCCTCTATCTGAATTTTCCATCTGGGCATTGCAGCAATCACCAGTTAGAGGCCCAAATAAAAAAGTCAGTGGACAAGATGAGTGAAGGGACTCCTAGTGCTGTGATGGCCAGATGAGATATGATGGACATCATGGAAAACCAGAAGAAAGACATGAATGTGCTCATTGCTCAGTAAAGGTCATAGGTCTTAGATTCAAGGATTTAAGAATGTGTCCAGAGCATTCTTTATAGTGTTGCAGTCCCACTAATGTAGAGGAGCAGGAAATACTTGCCATAGCTGGTCACTACAGTCCTGTGCATCTTGTTGACATATGTACCCCCACTCAGGAAACCAAAATTGGTTCCACCATGAAACATGTATACATTGAAAGACAGCTCGTACTGGATAAATTCAGATGCAATATATTCAATAACTATAGAGGGAAAAGAGAACATAGATAATATTAAAAAGTAACAGGAGGAAGAAGTTTAATTTGAATTCTTGTCATTTAAAACATCATTGATTGTTTCCAATCAATTTCCACTAGAATTGCAACATAAAATGAGAAAATTACCAGAACTGTTCTAGTAATTACACCATTCTAGAACCTTATAAACCTTTCTTTTTCAAATACTGGAACTGGAATTATTAAATAAAACCCAAAGTATTCTTCTTACATTCCTGAAATATCCAGTTTTCATTAGTTATAAAGATGTACAAAGGTTTAGCATACCTCCACTAATAAATGCTAAGAAACTGTCTCTGGGCACAAGTGATTTGAATTCCTGTTAATGTCCATAGAGGGTTGTGAAATTTAATCTACAAAAACTCTTTGCCTTCATGTGTAAATAGACACAATTTGTCTTTCTACTAGTCACAATATCATTATTTTCTAAATACCTGTATATATGAAGTGTATAAAATTTCTCCAGTCATAGAAATACAAAGCAAAAGAAATTTAAAAATAAAAATATCAGTGAGGAACAGCAGAACAAATTCTAAAAATGTAAGAGTGTCAAGATGAGTTAGATGTGGCATTCAGTCCTTCTGTGCCCTGCACTATTTCTCTTAATCAATCTATTTTCTTTCTCAAAACTTCTGATTTTTAATTTGTTAATTGCATGGAATGACCCCTAGTACCTCACAGGCTTAAAAGAAAGTTAGCTGAAGATGATATGCACACATAAACACATATACATAAAACATGACACAATGCATGACATAGAACTGATCAGATAACTGCTGCTTTGCCATATGGGTATTCTAGCTGCTGTTATTCTTCCTTTTTGTTGTGGATTATTACTTCCGTTGGCTCTGATATGTTTGTTTCTGCCATTGGTCACAGTTTTGTTGAGTTTGGTATTGCTTATTAGAGTTTGCAATGGTATTGGAATTCTGTTGTTGGTTCGTGTGTTGATGATAGGAGTGTTGCTTTTGCTGTTATTGCTACCACAGTTACTATGATCATTGATGACGGCAGTGCCATCAATACAAGTATTCTCAGTGGTGCTTTAGTTACTATCATTGTAGCTGTCCTGGTAGGCGTTACTGGTGTTACCGTTTTGATGACATTACTGTTGGCAGTAGAAGTGTCCCTGAAGTTTGAATTGTGTAGTTTCTGTTGCTGGTAGTAGTATTGGTGCTTTTGTTGTCATATTGGTGTTATTGTAGTTGGCATGGTTGTTGGTAGTGATGCCAGAGCTGTGTTGTTGCTGGCAATGACAATGATGTTTTATTTTACTCATTCCATTTTTAGTCTAAAAAGCATGATTTTTCTCAGCCAACAAATATTTTTTTAAAAAAATTTTTCATATATGTACAAGTGGGTCTATCCACTTAATAGTGATAAAAGGTTATTTTTAGTGAAAACATGATTTTCAAAATGAACACAACTCTTCAGCCTTTGTTGTACAGAGCAGTGTCTGTCCCTTCCAACAATACTGACAGTAGACTTACTGATAATTCCCAATATTCTGTGAGGACACTGACACAGATCACGGAAAGCTATCTGCCTCTGGTCATACGGCTTGTTCTGTAGGACAATGAGCAATACCCTTACTGTGCTCCCAGGATGCAGGCTCTCAACAAGTCACTGCACTCTCTTGCTAATTTTACCCTCCAAATTCAGTTCTGTAGTAAGATTTGCTCCCTTTGGGGAGATGCCACAGAAAATACATAAGCTCTGTGTCCTTCCTTTATCTGTGCCGATGTGTTACAACTCTCCTGTCACTGCTCCCTATTTGTCTTCTTTAAAGAAAACCTCCACAGATACAATGAAATAGTGACTGGCGTTTCAAACATCTGTCAACTCCCCTAAATCATGGACTTTCCGTCAGTATAAAAATATTATAATTTTTATTTACTTGTGGTTCCTCAGTACCTGGCTCAAAACAGGGGCCTAACAGGCTGAGTGAATATTTGCATCAATCAGCATAGGCTCATGCAAATATTCTAATGCAGAAACATTTTCCATTGTCTAGAATTGTTTAATACTTACTATGTGGGTTTTTAGTCACATGGGGGAAACCCCAAAGATCAAACCAACCAATCCAGAATTCCATAATTAGAATGGGCATGTTTCCCTAGAAACAAATAAAATCAAGCAAGAATCATCATCATAAAACAGAACATAAATATCATAAGCCCTGAATGAATCACTAGAAAATGTAAAGATCTCGGTTTTAATAAATTCAGAGCTTTTTCTTTTTGATTCATTAGTTTTCACCACCTTCTTTTTTTTAAGATTTATTTATTTTTATTAGAAAGTGAGATATACAGAGAGGAGGAGAGACAGAGAGGAAAATCCTCAGGCTGCTGATTTACTCCCCAAGTGGCCACCATGACCAGCCAGAATTGACCCAAAACCAGGAGCCAGGATTTTCCTCTGAACCTTGCACATGGATGCAGGGTGCCAAAGCTTTCCTGTGCCACAAGTAGAGAGCTGGATTGGAAGCGGGACAGTAGGGATACAAACCAGCACCTGTATGGGATCTCAGTTCATGCATAGTGAGGACACTAGGCATTAGCCACCACGCCAATCCCAACTCCTCCCTTCTTTAGTTCCATGTTTCCCACCATCCATACTTTGGTTCCTCAACTACACTGTCCCCTCCTTTCAGCTTCAGGCACCTGCTTGAAGTACACGAGAGCAACAGCCATGATTCCAACCTTGTGTTCCAGGCTGGAACCAAAAGAATTCACTCTGGATATAAAGAAACCTGATTGCAATTGAGTGGAAGGCATCTGCTGTGGAATTTAAGATGTCTCCTGAAATGCACATATTGCTGTGCCATGTTTCAACTATGAATCTTTCACTTTTAAACTTGGTCTTTGCTAATGTGCTCACTAGAAGGTTGTGATGATGGCCCGTTTCATCTCGTTTCCTGTTTTTAACATGGGGGATCCAGATGTAGTCCCTGGAAGTTGCAGAGGTTTGAAGTATGGGCCAGTAGATGAAATAAATCTCTCTGTCTCTTTTCCCCCTCTCAGATGGACTAATTTTTTTTTTTAATTTTAAGAAAAGCTGTTGAATAACCCACTCTAAGAAATGTTCTCTATGTCGGAAAGCAGACATTCAGTACTCCACACCCTCCCTTTACCCAGGAAAAAACTTGTCAGACTGCCTCTTGAAGCTGCTCTGCCTTATAAGCCTCATGTAGTCACATATGCAATTCAAAACAATGAAGAGGTCCTCCATAGGAGCATCCTGGTGCATCCATGCCTTAAGGAGCCTCACACACTGACACCCTGCCACATCACTGTGCACGATGTGGAAGTGACAGATCACACGTAGCCAAGTACACTACACCCAGAACTGCCAGCAAACTTCCAGAATTCAGGGAATAGTCATGCCTGCTAGGTGTAATCTCACAACATTTTAAACTAGAACACTGGGACACCTGTGGGTAGCACCGGTGTTGATTATAATTCAAGAAACTAAACAGATTCTAAAGTGCTTACTTATACCAAAGCAGGTACAAGGAATACAAGGAATACTAGCAGAAAATCTTAATATGAAAGACAATTTATAAGTGTATAGGTTCAACTGACTCACCATAAATACATTATATATATATGAACCCAGAAAATAAAAACTCAAGGAAACATAAGTCCTACAAATGAATTTAATAGTCGAGCAAGAGACACAAGGAATTATTAAAAACAATGGCTTTATGGGAGCTCAAGGAAACCCAAGAGAATACGGACATTTCAGCAACATTAAGAACTTAATACATTTTATGAATTAGAGATTGAGGAATGAATTGGTCAAAAATAATTGACCAATAATCGAAACTAAAACATAAATACAGAATCCACTAGCATAAGTGATTTGCTAGGAACAATTATGAATTTGAAGATTGATATTTTAAAATAAACCAACCAGTAGAAAAAGTCTTCCAAAAATAAAAATTAATAATGTCATGAAACTCCCCAGGGAGCAAACATTTTAATTATGAGTGCTCCAGATGGAAAGATGACTAGAAAGATGATTAAATAACAAGATTTTTGGAATAGAAGAAAAGAATTTTTCAAAAGAGGAAGCTCAAAGGTCCACTAGCAAATTCAAAACCAGAAATGGCCTTTCAAACATACGCCACTGAAAAACTTTTTAAAAATGCAAAGTAATTAGAAAACAGAAAAATCTGACATGTAATTTACAAGGATTATGTTAGATTATCGTATTTATCAGAATATTTACAGACTAAGCGAATATGAGTTCAAAAGCGCGAAATCTTGATAGAGGGGAATTGCCATCTAAGCACACTCTATCCAGCAGAAGCATCTAACAAAGCTTAGAGTAAAAAGACTTTCCATAGCAAGCAAATCCTTACAGAACTCACCACCACCCAACCAGCCCCACCAGAAATGCAAAGGCAATTACAAGCACAGAGTTAACAATTACAGACATGAACAATACACAGAATCTCAACGGTGCAGAGAAAGAACTATCTAGAAAAAGAATGCAATTATGTGTATTTCATTTCTACTTTTTGGATTAGATTTGATATGCAAAATGCTGAAAGCGAAGTGATTTTTTAGTCTGTGTTAGCACTGTCCCTTGCATATATATTTATTAGGTTTTGCCATCACTGTGCTGTTATGCCTACAAAATGAACTGAGAAGCATTTCATAAGCATTTTCTGAAACAATATATCATTGTGCAATCATTTATTCTTAAAATATTTGCCAAAATTTATCAAATTTTTTAGTCATTCTGGGGTTAGTATTTCAATAAGAATTTACTTACCCCGCTTCATACGCATCTTTTCAAAATTATCTTCCTTACTGTTAAATTTTCAGAATTTTCTAAGATTTACTTATTTTAATTGGAAAGTCAGATATTCAGTGAGGAGGAGAGACAGAGAGGAAGATCTTCCATCCATTATTCACTCCCTAAGCAAATGCAACGGCCGGAGCTTAGCTGAACTGAAGCCAGGAGCCTGGAGCTTCATTCGGGTCCCAAGGTTTTGGGCTGTCCTCAACGGTTTTCCCAGGGCACAAGCAGAAGGCTGGATGGGAAGTGGGGCCGTTGGGATTAGAACTGACACCCATATGGGATTCTGGTGTGCATGCAAGGTGAGGAGTTTACCCACAAGGCTATCATGCTGGGCCCAGAATTTGTTTTTGGAAAACATTGGATTTTTCACACAAATTAGCAAAATTCTCAGCATAAATATATGTAACATTTAAAAACAAAAATAGAACTTTGCCTTGATCTGACAAATCTAAAACCAATCAAATATGTAAAGAAATTTAATCCACCTGTTGAGGAGACATTTGCACTCACGAATTTATCTATTGTACAAAATACTTTTGGGAATCCAGTGAAAGAAAATGAAATCTTTATATAGGAAAGTCGCCTGTCATCCTATATTTACAGCTGTACAATAGCAAAGACATGGAAACAAGCCAGATGCCCATCAGAAGAGGAATAGCTATAGAAACTGTGGTACATCTACTTCACAAAATACTATTCAGCCACTAAAAAGAATGAAAATCTACCATTTGCAACGAAATATTCCCAACCACTAAGCCAATCCTGGAAGAAAAAAAACATCATATGTTCTCTCTGATATAGGAAAACCTTCCTGCAAAATATAAGATCGATAGATATATAGGTAACCATGTGTATACACAGATTTGTCTGGAGGCAAGTATACCATGTCGTAGAGGTACATTGCAGCATGCATTGCTACGTCTGAATGAAAGATGGACTCTGAGGGAAAATGCTAAATATAGCTTTGCAATAGGATGCCGACTTTCTGCCATTGAACATCTACGAAGTCATGATACACTTAAAGAGCAAAGTGATGGACTTATGAGTGCTTTTGAAAAACCATACTATTGTCATAATATAGGGGAAATTAGTTGGACGAGAGAAAACCCTTGAATCTATGGACTGTATCATAAAACTGTGTCACATAATGCAATACGTAATTTATTAAATTTTTAAAAAAGGGTGATCCTGACTTCAGAATGTGTTTGGAAAGATTCCCTCTTGTTCTGTTTTTTGAAATAATTTAAAAAGAATTAATGTTAATTGTTCAACCGTTTGTCAAAATTCAGCAGTGAAGCCTTCTGGTCCCAGACTTTTCTTTGATGACAGAATTTGGTTTTCTTATCCCATCCCCTATTCATCATTGGTCTGTTTAGGTATTCTGTTTCTTTATGATCAATCTTAGTAAGATGTGTGTGTCAGAAAATTTTTATTTCCCATATGTTATCAAATTTGTTGCTGTGTAATTGTCCATAATCTATAATAATCCTTTGTTTTTCTGTGGGAAAAAAACACATATTTACAGTGGCGAACACTATGGAATCAGTGTAATTTCTTAACAAAAGATGTATAGATGACACTAAAGTGTGTATGCATAAGATAGAATACTATTCTTAAAGAAGAAATGATTGAAATTCTGCCATTTGCAACAACATAGATAAGCTTAAAGGACACACTTTTAGGTAAACTAAACTAGATCTTAAAAAAGCAAATATTTCATGTTTTTATTCATATTTCAACCTAAATAAGCTTGTGTCATAGAAGTGAAGTGATCAGAAGAGGGGAGAGAGGAAGGGGGAATTGGAAGACATTAATTTGTGAGCACAGTATTACCATGTGGCAGACCTTGTTCTATATAGTGGGGTGACACAGCTGGACATACTCTAAGTTATTCCTAAATATCCAGGAGAGAAGTTGCTCACGTTGTTAGTAAAATCAAGGTATAAACACTTGAAGGAATGCATATGTTATTTATTCTAATGCAATCATTACACAAAGGATGCCTGTACCAAAAATGTCAAAGTACCTTAATAATATGCATAACTGTGTTTTCATCCAAACTTTTTAAAAGCATCATATTATACTAATAATGCAAACATACTGAAGACCTTTTCATAAAGAAAAGCTGTACATTTTTTAGTATGGCCATTGCTTTGCATATATGAGCTCAAAACTAGATTCAGAAACTTGCCAAAAAGGACAAAGAATTGATTCATGCTACAGCACGGATAACACATGTGTTGCAAAAGACAGATTTTACTATATTTCATAGCTGAGTAGTATTTCATAGTGCATATGTGTGTACACATACACGTGTTTCTGTATCCAGTCATCTGATGATGGACATCCTGGTTGATTTCATATCTTAGCTATTATTAATTTTCATATAATAAACACATGTATAAAAATAACTCATCGGGCCCGGGGCGGTGGCGCAAGTGGTTAAGGTCCTCGCCTTTCACGCCCGGGATCCCATATGGGCGCCGGTTCTAATCCCGGCAGCCCCTCTTCCCTTCCAGCTCCCTGCCTGTGGCCTGGGAAAGCAGTTGAGGACGGCCCAAAGCTTTGGGACCCTGCACCCGCATGGGAGACCCGGAAGAGGCTCCTGGCTTCAGATTGGCATAGTATCGGCCCGTTGCGCTCACTTGGGGAATGAATCATTGGACGGAAGATCTTCCTCTCTGTCTCTCCTCTCTGTATATCCGCCTTTCCAATAAAAAGTAATAAAACTAAATCTTAAAAAAAATAACTCATCCTGATTTGGTTTCCTGTGTTAATAATTTGTATTAGGTTGGAAAATGTGTAGAAATTGACAAGTGTCATTTTCTCTTTGATCAATATTTATGGAGTAGTGGGAAAAGCTGAAATGAGAGCAATGGAGTTGCAATGTACAAGGTTTGGGCAAGGGATGGCTCTGTATGTGCCAGAAATGGTTGTAAATTGTGGGCTGCAACCAGAAACGAAGGCTAGTATGCAGTCACAAGAGGATTAGGAGAACTTGGCAGTGGATGTGAACGTAATGGCCAACCCAAGGGAAAGCTGGGAAAAGCAGAGCCAGCACAGAGGACAACATTCAACATCAGGCTGTTCGGTAGGGAAAGGATATGGCATGGACCATGTTTAGTCTGTTGTGAAACTGCCACAGAGGAAATGCACTGAGAGGAAAGTAGAGACTTCTCAATTCCTGTTAAGTAATAAAGAAATAATACCACGGATTCTCAGGACTTGCAGCATTTGGCTGGAAAACAGCAACATTAACAAAACAAGGTATTGATTGATTTCTGAGATCAGTCTTAGAATCATCTATCTCTGAACAGATGATAAGGGTTTATATCTTTAAACCTTCACTATGCTTGGGTCCAGCAAGGTAGCCTAGCAGCTAAAGTCCTTGCCTTGCACACACCAGGATCTCATATGCACCCCCATTCATGACCTGGCAGTCCCACTTCCAATCCAGCTACCAGCTTGTGGCCTGGGAAAGCAGGCAAAGAAAGGCCCAAAGTCTTGGGAACCTGTGCCCCTGTGGGAGATCCGACTGAAACTCCTACTTCCTGGCTCCTGGCTTCAGATGAGCTCAGCACTGGCCTCTGCCGCTGCTTGGGAAGTGAATCAGCAAATGAAAGATCTTTCTCTGTGTTTTTTTGACTTTCCAATAAAAAAATAAATGAATCTTAAAAAAAAAAGAAAAACTTCACTAATCTTAGACATTTGCACAGTGTGATCTCTAAGCCGAAATGATGGTAGCGGGAAGTCTTCCTAATTCTCCAAACATAAAAACAAATGCTCCTGAAATGACTGGCAACTATGCTAGGGCTCCCTGACACCAGACACACAGGCTATGAGTAGTGGAAGAAGAGATAAGATACTTCATCTTTCAGATATCTTACCTGTACTTGATGCAGCAATTTAAACATTCTCTGACACAGTGTTCTTTGATTGACTGTGGCCAAGGCTGTAGAGAGAAAAGACATGTCTACTGAGGCATTGTGATATGTGCCAACAAGGAAGAGCTGAAGACCCATATGCCTATCCCTATATTATTCATTTACTATTGCCACTGAGAGTTTCCATTTGCTGCTACTTAGTATCCAAACGTGTGTACACAGAAGCCTGAGGCAGTAGGATTTCATCCCGGACTGGGTTACTTGATTTTCTAGAAACACCCCATGTTGGTGGATTGGCAGGGTTGTTAAACTCTCCTAGCTTTAGGCAAAGATTCCTAGCAATGCAACTGCTGTGACGAAGGTAACATGCTCAGGGTGAAGGGTTTCCTCATGATCTGTCCGAGACAACAGCAGCAGCAGCAGCAGCAAGGAAAAGCCACAAAATCCGAGAACACTGAGCAGATACGTAGGTCCTCACACGCTGGAATACAAGTCTGAAGAACTCGGGCAAATGGGCATTGGAGAGCTTAAAGTTCACATCAGCGAGGTAAGAGCCCCAGTTATCCCTTCAAACTGTTCTACATCTGTACCTCCTTTAAGTTGACCTTTCCGCACATCATTCATCAAATCAGAGGTCAAAAGCAGCTCCACAATCCCTCTTTTCAGCAGGGCCTGTTGATAAAAAGCAATAACATGAGCTCCTTTTCTTTGTGCCCATTGGAAGAAAACTTGTATAAACAAATTGGGAAATGAACACAACTGGAATAAAACAGCCATGTGTTACTGCGTAACAGTGAAATCAGAATCTGAATATTTTCAAATTAAGAAGTTGGAAGATTACTGGGTTTGTCTCATCCCAGTATTGTTCCAGGGGTGAGCTCCAAAAGTAGATTAAGATGAGATCTGAAAACCCCTAAACCAAGTCCCCTTTGGAAAACATAGAGCGGGGTCTGTTAGGAAACACTCTGGAGGCAGTCGTAAGTTACAGGATGTGAAGGAGAGCAGACAGGAGAACCCTTTGTGCTTTGAGGGACCAAGGACACTGAGCACAGGTCTGCATCACAAACCAAGCAAATTATCCGAGCCTATTCAAGAAAACAAAGCAGCCTTTTCTGCCTTAAAGAAGAGGGACATCTGATAGAAAGCTTATGAGAAAAGTGACCAGAGAGCCGAACTTTCTCCCTGTGATTCTCTTCCCTTCCTTGAACCCTGTTTGGGAACGGTACGAGATTGGCACATCACCTGAAAGAAGTCAGCCACAGAAAGCCAGGTACCCAATAATTCCACCCATGTGTGGAGCTGATGCATGGCTTCAGTGAAGCTGACGGTAAAATGGTGGTGACCAGAATTTGAGAAGAGTAGAGCAGGAGGAAATTGGACAGACTGGTAATACTTGGTAAAAACAGTTATGATGTGCAGTGATGTGAGTATTGGTGAAGATAAAACACCGAGTATTTAAAAATAAGAAAGTAGAAGAAGCAAGATTTCAAATATGCTCACCACAAACAGTAAGTATTCAAGGAGAAGGATGTATTTATTGTGCTTTGAGTATGACACACTGTATCAAAATATGGCATAATATTAATATTTTTGAATATATAAACATATATTTCTAAAAAATATAATATCTGCTGTGAATTATTGATGCATTGATGCCAGCCATGAGCAAAGGTTCAAGAGACAAATGACTCAGATTGGATCCAATTCTAGACAGAATCCATCACTTCCACTGAGGCCTATGATGTATTTTGCCCATCTTCCTTGCATAGCAGGTGAGCTGCATGCTTTTTGTGAACAGAGCTGATGATGGGTCAGCTCAGACCCTGAAGCCTCTAGCCCTATTCATTACACTGATCAGGCATACAATCTGGACTGGAACCTCATCAGCCTTTGAATATGGAAATTCAGAGACAAGAAGCTCCAACATCAGGGAGGACAATGCACAGGACTGCAGGTACAGCCTGACCGGGAATGTCACTCTGTGAGGGAACAAAAGGATGCATGGGCCCCTATGTAGACACCTAGTAACCACTATCATCAACTCATTGACCACTATTTACTGTACTTGCACATTCACTAACCGCAGCTTTAATGATTCATATTTAACTCTAAATATTCCTGATTGTACTGATGATATTATAAATTCATAGTGGAATTAAACTTTGGCTTAAATATCCTTACAGTGCATGTTAGCCCTATTACTGCAGGAAGAAATTAGAAATGCATGCCAGAAAAATACAGTTTATAGAAGGAAACATATAAATGAAGAAACACACAAAGTGTTATTACCTCTTTGATATAAGGCATGTAGTTTTCATCCTTGTTAAATGTACCATATTCATTCTCCACTTGGAATGCAATGACAGGGCCTCCATGGCGGTACTGAGACACAAGCATATGAGGGTTGAAACATAAGGTTACCAGGGTTCAAACTTACAATGAGTTTGCTGAAGAAGATAACATATATTTTGGGTACATGCGAAGCCAAGCTTCCTGAAGACTCGGCCTCTGTCTCCTCCTGGGCACTCAAAATGGGGCAGAAATCCTCCTCTCTGTGTTTTCTTCTATGTCATACCAGTTACCACTAGAATATGAACTCTGAAACCTGCGGCTCTGTCCCTTATTACACACTGACCCAGGTTCCACATCTGGAAGTTCAATGACTGCTGTGGGCTGAGGAGTTGACTAGCACTCGTTAAGTCGTTAAGCCGAGCACTACCGGGAGTGGGCTTGGGGCTAGAAGCACCTGGTCTCGGCTGTATCCAATATGCTCTAATGAGGGTGTGGGTAAAGAGTAAACAAGAAGTAGATGAAAGGTCAAGAGAGGAGGCAATAAAGAGAGGCCTCAGAGAGAGGCTTTCACTATCACTGTTCTCCTGTTGGTGCCTCATCCCTCAGACCCTCACTGTGCCCACGTTACTGGCAATGCTGGTGGAACAAGCGACTATCCAAACCTTCCTATGTTAAAAGCAGCTTCCAAACCTAATGGTGATGGAGCTAGCGATTGAGGTTTGAAGAATGAACTAGGGTTAGATAAGGTCATGGGGTGGTCATAACTTGCTGTCTCAGTGGTGGTACCAATATCTAACCGTGTCATTTCAATTTGCAGGGCAGAACATGGCAGAAGATCAAGTCTTTTCCACAACTGACAATCAGATGATCTGCCACTCTCTATCAACTATTCAACCCGTGGGATGTTATTACACACAAGAAAAATTGACTATCTTGTGACATCGGAAAGAGGCATCCTTATTCCATGCAGTCTCATAAGATAACAACATTCCTGTGTGCTAGAACCAAATGCTTCTGCCGCCTGCTCAGGAGTGTGGCTCCTGGAACAGCTCTACACCTTTGTAAACTTCTCTTCAGCCCTCTCCTCAGACAGTGACCACCACCACCATGGGTGCTTAATCAGGATCTTCCTTCACATCAGAGTGATGGGTAGAGGTCTGAAAATGCAACCTCCCCATAACAGTTCTCTCTCTCTTCCTCATTGACTATGTGCAACTTATGTTCTATGTGATGCTGTTCTTTAGAGGCCCTGATGACCGTACAGGACAAGTGAAAGCTTCTGCCCTCAAGCTGATGGTACAGAATCTAAGAGCCCAGGAATGTCAGCTTCATGTTTTATATGTGCAGATTGTGGCCTATTCACAGGTGGAATCAGAACAAATTCTCTCCCTACAGTAAAGGAATTAAGGAAACACTTCCTGGGCCTTACCTGGAGAGGAACCATTATGGGGACCAGAAGATCAAAATATCTGTCCACTGATTCAACAAAGCCTTTGTCAGTTGTCCTAATTCGGGACTTGGGATCCTGCAGTAGCCAGCTAGGGGCAAGGAAAGACAGACTTAGTGCAGAGAGGAAGGCGGGAGAACATAACCCCAGGTCCTTCTCTAAGCCCCCCCCTTTTTGGAGCTCCATCACCATCTAGCTCATGCCCGGAACCCTGTTACAGTTAACAGTCCTGCAAAGGCTGCATCTGGTTAAGCTCTTGTACCACTCCCAGCTTGTAGGGTTTATAGGAAATCATTATTCCATTGCAGAGGCACCTCATGATTCTAGAAGAAATTTCAGGTCTCTCTAGTCAGTTCGAGAATCTGAGCCTGGTTAGGCTCCCACACCGGCTTTCATGAGTCTCTCTCACACTCAAATTATCTTTCAAACACGTTAAGATCATTTTTCATGAATGCCATATGTGTTCCTTGGGAAAGGCTCACATTTCTCCTATGACCCAAGATGTACATGCTGGGTAGGAACTACCATTTCATAAACCTCTTTGCTCTTGTCACTGGGGAAGTGCCAGGTGTCAAACTGATCAGCACGCATAACAGTTACTTCCATAAAAGTGCACATCTGTCAGGCTCAGCCTTTTTGCGCACCTGAGTTGGACCAGAGGAGAAATCCATTGTAAAAAAAAAAAAAAAAAAAAAAAAAAGCAATGATTTCAGGTGGATCTGAGGAGGGAAGGTGTTTATCTTAAAGCATAGCTGAGAATTAAATCAGGATTCCCATCTAATGTTTCAGGCCAAAGAAGTAGATCCTGGATTTCTCAACCAAATTTCATGTATTGGGGCTGAGAGCTAGATATGTCAAAAACAAGCAAACACATCTCCTGCAACAACAAAGAAAGAGATAGGGTGAGGTGAAATGAATGCAACAAAGTAAGAGAAATGCCAGCAGGATTTGACTCTCTGGGCAAAATGCTTTTGTTTCCTTCCTTCTCCATGCATGAGGAAAATAGAGTTGTCTGTTTTGGGGTACAGAAGAGGTCAGGCCTCCTATGGCTCTTCCTCCCTTTACACCCTGTCATGCTATTGGCACGAACCAGGGTATCCATCTCCTCTTCTGTTCTTTGCAATGAGAATGGCCATGAAACCTGCTCCTTGCCACAGCTCTCAGACTGCATGTGAGAGATGCACCTAAATCCCATGCAATAAGCACTTTGTCAGTGGAGGTTGTTGTCACTGTCCTTATCATTACTTTATGTGAAGCAAATAGTTTACTATGCCACAGTTCTGATGTCATAGTCCGGCTTACCTGCACAGACATAGGGGCCTGGACGCAGAATCACCCACAGGCCGAGCTCCTCTGCAATCATCACAAAGGCCCTGGGAAGCAAAAACTCCTCAATATCACACATGATTCCATAGTAGAGTCTGGGCAGCATGCAGTCTGCACATACTGGGGGGTGAAGCAGCTGCCTACCTCTCCCCCATCCTCTCACTGCCAGGGACACAGGTGAGGGAACACCCGAAGAGCAGGGCATCCCTATCCCAGGTGGGAGAACGAAGATCCTGCCATCTAGGCATCTACTGGCTGCTAGCCTCAGAGCCTCAGCAGAGCATTACTTGTGTATCAGGCAGGAAACAGTGGTAATAGCAGTAAATCTACAACAACCTTGCTAATCCAGATAAAAGACTCATCATCCAAAGTTAATAGGTCCCGTTGCAGGTATTGGTCCCATTTCATTGGCCAATGGTCTAGAAATGCAGAGTGGAATGTCCCCAGTGATTGCAGGACTGGCCTATCTGGGAGGCAGCACACACCTGGGCAGCATCCCACCTTGATGCTGGTAACAGGGCTTTCAGCACAGAGTCAGCACACGGCTGGGCAGCATCCCACTCTGGTCCTGAGAACAAGACTCTCAGCACAGAGGCAGGACATGGCTGGGCTCCTAATCCACCCATGTAACCACCTATCAGAGTCCTCCTCTTGCTCCAGAAACATCAACCCCACATACTTCAGGTCCAAGTTTCCAGAGAAGTCAAATTTGCCCCTTTCTGGCTCGTGCAGGTTCCAGGGAATGTAGCTAGAAAAGAGAAGAGGGAAAAATCCTAAAAAACTTATTGCTTTCTTACAAATTTTTGAGGTCATCCTCAGACCCATGCTAAAACTGGCATAGTGCTACTGCAGAATAAATGGTACTTATCCACTGAATTAAACTTTTATTTCAAAAACAAATCTACATAGTTTCCTTCTTAGCTACCCAACTATTTTCCTGTTGTTCTAGATTCTATGGGTTTTGGTATAATTTTCCCATTCACTCTCTCAGCCACTAAAAGGAATAATGAAAGACAAAATGTATGGTATGCACTTAATATTTCTCAGTGGCAGTTAAACTATAAAGAAAAAAAATCCACAAATAAATAAAACAAGTGGGTGATTTCTGTGTGGTTCCCGGAGATAGAATGCAGAAATGACTCCCAGTGGAACTTGAGAAGAGCAGTGGCAAGCCTAGCTCCATGACACAGCAGGAAAAAGGCACTGCCTGAGGCTTTGGCCCTCCATATGGGCTCCAGTCTGTGTTCTCACAGCTGTATATCCAATCCAGCATGCTGCCCATGTCCATGGAAAACAATGGAGGATAGCACAAGTCATGGGACCCCTACATCAATGTGAGAGAACCAGAGATAGCCCCTGGATCCTGGTCTCAGATCAACCCAGCTCCATGCATAGCCACCATTTGGAAAGTTAATAAGCAGAAGGAAGCTCTCTCTCTCTTTCTCTCTCTCTCACATGCAGACTTTCCAATACAACAGTAAATTGTTTCCAATAAGACTTGTGGTTTTTAGTCCACAGTAGCCATCATATTAAATAGCAAAAGTTGACAGCACTTTCTCCTAACATCAGGAACAAGACAATATATCCATTCTTGTCAATTTTACTGAAAAGTGATTAGAATTTTAGCTAGAGAGCCTAAAGCAATGGCCCAATGGTTAAATCCTTGCCTGGAAAGTGCCAAGATCCCGTATGTGGGATGGCTCATGTTTTGGCTGCTCCACTTCCCATTCAGCTCCCTGCTTGTGGCCTGGCATAGCAGTCAAGGATGGCCCAAAGCTTTGGGGGCCCTATACCCAGATGGGAGACCTGGTAGAAGCCCCTAATTCCTGGCTTTAGTTGAGCTCAGCTTCAAACATTGTGGCTACTTGGGACGTAAATCAGCAATGGAAGATCTTTCTGTCTTTCCTTCTCTCTATAAATCTGAATGTCCAATGAAAACAAATAAATCTTAAAAAAAAAATAGAGAGGGGGCCCAGCACGATGGTGTAGTGATTAAGGTCCTTTCCTTGCATGCCGGGGGTCCCATATGGGTGCCGGTTCTAATCCTGGCAGCCCCACTTCCCATCCAGCTCCCTGTGTGTGGCCCGGGAAAGCAGCCAAGCACGGCCCAAAGCCTTGGGACACTGCACCCCCTTCAGAGGCCCGGAAGAGGCTCCTGCCTTTGGATTGGCTCAGCTCCAGCCATTGTGGCCATTTGGGAGTGAATCATCGGACAGAAGATCTTCCTCTCTGTCTCTCCTCTCTGTATATCCGCCTTTCCAATAAAAATAAAATAAATCTTAAAAAAAAAAATAGAGAGGGCCCAGCGTGATGGCATAGTGGTTAAAGTCCTCGCCTTGCACATGCTGGGATCCCACATGGGCACCAGTTCTAATCTGGCAGCCCCGCTTCCCATCCACCTCCCTGCTTGTGGCCTGGGAAAGCAGTCCAGGACAGTCCAAAGCCTTGGGACCCTGCACCTGCGTGGGAGACCTAGAAGAAGTTCCTGGCTCCTGGCTTCGGATCAGCTCAGCTCCAGCCATTGTGGCCAACTAGAGAGTGAACCATTGGATGATAGATCTTCCTTTCTGTCTTCCCTCCTCTTTATATATCCGCCTTTCCAGTAAAAATAAATAAATCTTAAAAAAAAAGAAAAAATAGATTTCTACCCAGAGAAATTAGACAAAAGTAAGACGAAAGCCTAAAACTAGGAACGGAAATTCAAAATAACTATCTATGTATCTTATTAACGGTCTAAGTATCTATACTATATGGTACTGTATATACTACAATCTATGCACGGAAAAAAATCGAAAGATTACAGCAAAACATTATAAATGATAAATGAACTCAGTAAAGGTACAGGATAGAAAACTCAACATAAAATCAATAATATTTTATATGCCGATAACACCTTTTATGAATACCTAGATTACAAAAGTTAGAGAGTCAAAACCAATTCTCGCAGGACAAGCCAAATCTTCAAGTAGCAAGATTAAATAAACACAGCAATCATGACAAAACAATCGATTTCAAGACACACCTGAGAGTCATGGGGGCACAGAAACGAATAACTAGACCAGTGGAACAGAAAACACATTATAGTTACAGGAAACTAATCTACACTTCTTTAGTCAATTGATTCTTTACAGAAGAGCCCTAAAAAGTGACAGATCTTTCAATAAATTGTCCTGCGTAACTGAATACCAGGTGCAGGAGATAGAACTTAAACCCTGCTTCCCCACTTCTCCCCCATCCAAAAACTCAAAGTGGGTCAACAACATAAATGGAAGACATGAAACACTAAAATTACTAGAAGAAAACCGTAGAAACAACAACTCAAGACACCGATCGAAGTTATAACTTTATGGATGAGCCATTTAAAGTACGGAAAACAAAGTGAGCATCAAAAACAGGGCTGTTACCAGGCCATGATGCTTCTACACAGCAAAAGAAATCATCAACAGAGGGAAAAAACAAGCCAAGATCGGAAGAATTACTTGCCAGCTTTTCATTTGAAAAGTCTGGAGTTCATTCAGAATATGCAAGGAGCTTAAAAAAAAAAAGGCTAAAAGAAAAAATACCATATAGTTTCAGCTCAATTTAAAAGTAGACATTAAAAATATATTGCTGCGAAAGAATTTTATTTCATTTTCAAAGACAAAAGAAAGCTTTGCTGGATAAGTTATCCTAGGCCGACAATTTTTTTTCTTTTAGAATCTGGACTATGTCACTCCATTTTCTTCTTGCCTGTAGAGTTTCCTGTGAGAGATCTCCTATGAGTTCAATTGGCATTCCTTTATATGTCACTTGATTTTTTTTCTCATGCACATTTAAGGATCTTATGCTTATGTTCAATTGAAGAGAGCTTGATGAGCATGTGTCTTGGTGAAGATCGCTTTTGATCAAGCCTGTTGGGAGTTCTGTGCCCCTCCTGGATCTTGTTTCCCAATTCTTTTTCTAGATGAGGGAAATTTTTTCCGTTATTATTTCATTAAATACATTTGCAAACTCAGCTTCTCTTTCTGCACCTTCCGGGACTCCCATAACTCTTAGATTTGGCCTCTTAATAGGGTCTAGCAGAGACACACCTCACCAACAAAAATCAGCGGAAATTATATCGCATGGGTTTTGTTGTTTTTTGTTAGTTTCATCTCTTCAAAAAACATTTTCTTCTGATTAAATCATTCAATGACCCATAGATCATACAGTAGCATCATTTTCTTCAAGAAGGTTTTTGATTTTTCATTTCTTCAGCTACACATTATTCATTTAGTAGCATGTTATTTAACTTCATGGTGTTGTTAATTTCTTTTCTCTTCCTGATGTTGATTTTGTTTCGTGGCTCTTCATTTAAGGGGATGTATAGTGGCTGTGTAATGGAGGCTGTCATATCTAGTAACATGTCATTTAGCTTCATGGCTTTGTTCATTTCGATTTTTCTTTCTATTGTTGATATTGTATAGTGACTTTTCATTTGAGGGGATGTACAGTAGCAGTGAAATGGAGACTAACACCCAGGTGTGAGGATGCAACATAGTATGCATTTCTACTTCCAGACAAAGATAGACTTACAATGAAATTGTTCACTATATCTTGACAATAGGATTCTGGACTCTCTGCCATTGTCCATGCCCTCAATGATGGACATGTGACTGTGTATGAAGAACTACATTTTAGTAATGATATAGAGGAACTAGGTGGCAGGGGGATGGAACTGGGGAAGGGGATAAGGGAAATTGCAGGAGCCTGTGGAACTGTACCATAAAATGATAATGATAATAATTGTAATAAAATGTAAATATATATATATATTGCACAATTCTCATATGATTATCAATCACAGAAACAGATGTCCAAGCCATGAGGCAGGACCTACATAGTTGTGCAATGGGCTAAACCACAGTCTGAAAGCCCATTGCACGTATCAGAATATCTAGGGAAGTTCTGGATCCTCTGCTTCTGATCCAGCTGATGCTAACAGGAAAGAGTGGGAGATGGCTCAGGTGTCTGGGTTTCTGCCACACACCTGGGGGATCAGGTTGGATGTGGCCCGTCCTAGATCTGGATATTGTGGCCACCTGGGAAGTGGCAACAGGATGGAAAATATTCTATGTCCAGAAACACAAAATAATTTTTTAAAGAATAATTTCAATGTGATAAAATCTCACTGTAGTGAGAATGGCTAGTGTTAAAGAGACCAAAATAGAGTTAGGATTTCAGATTAGTGGTTAAATATGGCATGTTTCACATCACAATGACTGGGTTAATCCTTGGCTACAAATCCTTTACTCACACTCCTCACAGCAGTGAAGGTAGTCACTGTGTTTCAGCCAATCATGCAGGAGACCTGAAGTGAGTTCCTAGCCCTTCAACTTATCTTAAAATAGCAAGTGTGATTTTTATTTTTACAATATGCAATTTTTTAACACTTTCATTGGGAGTCCATTTTTATTTAGCAGCAGAAATGCATACTGCAATGTATCTTCATTTCTCAGTGTGCCATTTTCCTTTAGCTGTTGATCTTGCATCTTACAGTAAGGTTGCCTTATATCACAGAGAACACATCATATTTGTACTTTTGAGATTTGCTTATTTCAGTAAATATATTGTTGCTATAAATGTAGGATTGAGGTCACGTTCTCACATGAATTCATTTCCTTTAGATATATTCCCAGGAGGGGGCTAGCTGGGTCATATGGTAGCTCAGTTTTCAGTTCTCTTAGCATTCTCTTCACCGATTTTCATAATCACTATACTAGCCCACCACATCCAACTTGGGTGTCACCCTGGACACTGGCCAGACTACCCTGGCTGCAAGGCACAGAGGCATAGTTTAAAGATAAAAAGCATCATGGGGGGAGAGTTATGGGAGGGGTGGTGGGGGGGGATCCCAGTGCCTATAAAACTGTATCACATAATACAATGTTATTAACAATAAAAAAAGTGAATTGCAAAAAAAAAATGTAGTCTTCTTCACACGTTTCAGTTAACATGCATATGTTTTCATTAAGAACTATGAGCAAACACACATATGAACAAATAGAAATTACTCAAAGTAGAGTTAAGATATATCACACATTCAAATCATGTGGCTTAATGTGGTTTTATTTAGAAAAATATAGTGAGGATGTGTGTTGTTCTAAATATTTTTTGCCAACCTGTATCTTTTTACCCTTAACTTGTTGTTCTACATCATGTGTACATAGTGAATCATGAATCATTAAAATTACTTGCTCTCCTGAAAAAAAAATTCTTTTGGCAAAAAAAAAGGATAAAAAGCATCAAAAGAAAAAACCAACTATAATTTACACAAATGCCTAAAAATAGACATACAAAAACAAGGAAGACACAATGACTTCCACAAAGGACCACAGCTCACCATAATTTGATTATGAGGATGAAAATCTTGATCAAATGTTGAAAAATGAATGGAAAAATGATAACATTACTCAACAGCACACAGAAACAAATTCTTGAGACTAAGAAACACATTGATTATATGGAAGAAATATTATGCAAAGAGATTGAGAACTGACTGTGGCATGGTGGTGAACCCACCAACACACCTCCTGATATCTAGTCAAGTGCTTCTTGCAAGCCATAAAAGCATCACACAAAGATAATAGCCATCAGAGTTTTTTTTTTTTTTAAAGAACTTGGTGGCAATAAAGTGGAATCTAATCATTTGTTTGTAGAAAATGAAGGAAGGGCTTGATTTTCAGATCAAGGCAAATTTCCAGTGAGAAAGTAAAGCAAAATAGTGGACATTATATGGGACAGGAGTACAGAGCTCATAAGCTGCATTTGAGGTTGGCTGTATTGGGGCCACCAGGGGCCAGTGTGAGCTATGACTCACCAGCACTTCAAGTAAGTTAACTGCACCAAAGATTTTGGGAGAAGCTAAGACACAGAGTGCCAACTGGAGTGTTCAAGAAAGTGCCAGGCATAGAATGTCATAACCCACATTGACTCTCTGCCCAGACAAGCACTAGAAGGAGGGAGAGATCCTATTGGGTCACCATGGAGAAGGAATATTCTCCTTTATTTTTTATTTTCCTATAGAATGCCTGAACTGGTGGTAAGAACCTGTCATTTTTAAATCAGCTAGTCCTATTGCTACATCAGCTTTGGAGTACATAATTCTGTGCTGAGACATGGAAATGGTAAATGCGTGCTCCTCCTCAACTTTGAATTGGTACACGTACGTCACTGGAAGTGGCACATACAACTCCTATCCCCAGCATTGAGCCCCAAGAGAAGGAGCTGCTCCATCCACTCAGGTGGAACAACCAGAAGTGGCTGGATCAGGGGCCAGTACTGCAGCATTGTGGGTCAAGAATCCACACCGCCTGTTGTGAGCATCCAGTACAGGTGCAGGTTATGTTACAGCTACTCCACTTTGACTCAGATCTCTGGTAAGGAGCCTGGGAAAGCAACCAAGAGTTACCCAGGGTCTTGGGCACTTGGACCCTTGCATGAAACCTGGAAAAGCTCTAGGCTTATATAACTGAGAGAGTATGGACATCAATGCTCTCTAAAGAACTCAAACCACTCAACAACGGTAAAACAGTGAAGTTAAGAAATGCAGAAGTGCATGAAAATGCATTTCTCAAGTGATGAAATTCAAGTAATCAACAGACATAGGAACATTCAAGTTCACTAGTCATCAAGAAAATGCTAATAGAAACCACAATAAGGTTTCACCTCAGTCAGTTAGAATGACTGTTACCAGAAAATCAAAAACAGCAAATGCTGGTGGGAATGGAAACTAATGCAACTATTATGGAAAATGTTATGAAGGTTCCTGAGATATCTGAGAATAGTCTACCAAAAGTCCCATCCTTCTCACTAATGGGTATCAATCTGTACTGGGATGCTTATAGGAGCTCAATTCACAGTAGCTAAGAAATGGAATCAGCCCAGATGTGGCAACTAAAATACAAATTAAAATAAAAAGAAATAGAAAGATAAAAATTAGGGAGGAGTTACTCAAGTTAACCCTGTTTGCAGATGATATGATTCTCTACATAGGGGATCTAAAGGACTACTGATTCTCAAAACGATCAACAATAGCCTTTTATACACAAACAATTGCATGGTTAAGCAAGAAAATGTAAGCTCACACTCATTCACAATAGCTGCAAAAATGTAAATAACTTGGAATATATTTAACCAAACATATAAGGGATCTCTACAACGAAAATTACAAAACATTTAAAAAGAAAGGAATAGAAGAAGACACAAATGTTGAAGGACATTTTTCATGTTCATGGATTTGTAGCCTTAATCTAATCAAAATGCTTAAACTACCAAAACAATTTACAGAATCAGCGCTATCTGTGTCAAGTTACATACAACATTCTTTTCAGATCTAAAAAAAAAAAAGATGAGAAAGTTTACATGGAATAAGAAGAGATCCCAAAGAGGTGAAATAGTCTTAACAAAAATGAAGCTGGAGGAACGAGGATACCAGACTTTAAGACCTATTACAGGGCAGTTGTAACCAAAACAGCCTGGCACTGGCATAGAAACAGACCTGAACAGAATGGAATGTACAGAAATAAACTCATATATCTACAGACAACTAACATTTCACAACTAACCAAAATCAATCCAGAGTGAAAACATGGACTCCTCAAAAAAATGATCCTGAGAAAAATGGGTCTTTGTATGCAGAAGTGAGAAATAAGACCCTTACGACATATGTCACACACAGAAAATATCATCTGTGAATGAATCAAGGATCTAAATATTTAATTGGACATCATCAAATTGCTGGAGGTGAACTTTAGGGGAACTCTGCAGGACATAGGTGTAGGCAAACATTTTATGGGAAAGATACCGGAAGCAAAAGCAACTAAAGAAAAAGTAAGCAAATGGGATTGGACCAAGTCAAGAGGCTTCTGTACTTCAAAGGAAACTTTCAACAAAGTGGAGAGACAACAGAAAAATAATTGCAAATTATACAACTGACAAAGGTTTAATGACCATAAGCTACAAATAACTTAAGGAACTCAACCACAACAACAAAAAATCCATTAAGAAATGGGAAAAGAACATGAACCCATAGGTTTAATGTTTCCTATGTATTGGTGGAAAGAACTTTGAAACGCACTCATGAGGAGTCTTCAAATAATTTTTGGAAAACAGTTGCTTCTAAAAGTTGTTAGAATGTAAATTTGCATTTTATTTGTGTTTTCTCTTTGCTTCTTAAAGAATCTTTGTGTATCATTAAGTTAAATATTCCTAAGTGCGGGAGAACTCATCACATACACAAAGATATTTAAGGAAGCATCTACCCTGTAGCCAGATAGGATAAAATTGTGCATAGATTTCTCTCTCTCTCTCTCTCTTTTTTCTCTTCTTCTCTTCTCTTCTTTTCTCTTCTCTTCTCTTCTCTTCTCTTCCTCCTCCTCCTCTTTCTTCTTCTTCTCTCTCTCTCTCTCACTCTCTCACTCTCGCTCGTTCCAGACAAAACTGCAGATCTTTCAATTCCTGGTTGAATCAAGCCTATTAAATAACCCTATATTTCTCTACCTCATTCTGTTTCCAAAACGTTGATCATACAGTCATAACAGTGATAGACAAATGCATGAGCACAAAAGGCGACTGCAGGAAGCCTAGGCAGAAGGAAGGTCCCCACTTTGTGTCCCAAGCAGAGTCAAGGCTCAGAGTCAGGCTGCAGCTCCAGGTGCTAGCTCCCCAAAGATCCCGAGGTGAGGGGGCTGGGGCTGTACTCACGTGGTGACAGTGTTGAAGCCACAGGCTTTCAGCTTCAGCAAGCGGTCCCTCCAGTACTCTCTTGGAACCCGGAAGTAGTGGATGGAGCCACCAAAGATACGGAACTTGTGACCATCCAGGGTGAAGTATGCGTGACCCATTCTTGGGCTTTCAGTGCCAAGGCCCACAGATCGGTTTTTCAGGTCCAGGGGGGTCAAATGAGACCAGTTATATCTGCAGAGGGGATGAAGGGGGAGGTCAGAAAGGGACCAAGAATGGGAAAGAGCAGAGACTGCTGAGTCCTCAGGGAAAAGGCAGTTCCTGTGAGCAGGATGCACTATGCACGCGCAGGTGCCCATAATTTCCTCCCAGGGGAAGAGTGCCACCGCTGTCCCTGCCGCTGTTACACAAACCTCGCCTGAGATGGCTGTGCTGTTTGAGCTAGAACACTCCTTTGCATTGTTGAGTGAAGATCGTGATACGACGAGATAAACTGTAGGAAAATGATGGCCAGGAATCTATTCCAGGAGAAACTCGGGCTATCGGGAGAGAGGGACACAAGGACAGGGAATGTGAGACCCCCTAAGGTTTTCCTCCACACCTGGAGAGACCATAGTCACCAACGGAGTGCCTGAAGGTACAGCCTGTCTTAGAGACCCCAAGAAAAAGAACCCAGGCTTCCACTGCTTCACAAGACTCGCCATGCCCAGTCTGTCCTCCTCAGTCTGAACCTGTGGATTGAAAGCACATGGAACACATGCAAGTGGAAAGCTGGAAAAGATCAGCACCTGGCTGAGGAGAGAGGAAGTCCTGTGAGAGCATTTTGTTCCCCTTGGATTTCCCTCTATCCCTCCACCCGACGGTGGGAGCATGCTCAGCATGCTGGGGGAAATGTCTACAGGTGAATTGGCCATAGCTGGCTCACAGTTAGAGATGTGCGGCATGTCTAATACAAAGCTGCAGTTCCAAAAACACTATGACTGACACTAAGAACCTGAAGGGGACAAGGAGATTTGCACATGAGAACACAGAGAGCATGAGGTAGGACTAAGGAAAGGATGCCTGACAGAGTCCTGGGCTGTGGATCTGCTTCAGCAAAGGATAGGCAGCAGCTCTTCACCTGAGAAGGGGCTGGAAGCCCATTGTGCAGTAATCCAGCATCACTCGTTGTAGATTTCAGCAGCTCTTTTCCTCAGCCCCAAACCAACACTGAGGTCCAGAACTTGCTACAGAGGCAGGCTCCTGTCTGCTCTGCAGGGGTGGCCAGGAAGAAATCCTTGTAGTCACCAGTCATGGTATCAGTGATCTGCACACTGAGTACCACAGCCTGGCCACAGTCTTCCCAGCCAAATACCTGGGTCTGGAAGCCTCTTGTGGTGCCAGAGATGGCTAATGGAACTCTGGACCTAGAGCCATCCAGAGCCCATGGCCACGTTGAGCATCTGGACCACCAGACACAGCGTAACTGACCTCTAGTTCTGAGGGAAAGAAAAGGCATTTCTTTCATTGGATTTCCTGAACTGTCTAAGAACCCACTGCCAGTTGGCACAAAACTAAAAGTTAGTGGGAGGAAAGGAAGTGGCCAGCCTAACCCTGGTATACCTGAGAGCAGGATGTCCTGATGCCCCCAGTTCCGTCAATTTACCAAGTGCCCATTATGTTCAGACCCAATGACTCAGATCAGAAGCAAAGGAATCATTTTTGTGTGCAGTTAAAGTTTAGATGGGATAAATAAAGGCTACATCAAGTTTTTACAGAGAACAGTGGAAGCACTGAACGGGGATCAGGCTGCCCCCCAAAATGACACTTTTCCCAATTTATGTATTGATTAGAATGAGATAAGTCTTGGAAGAAACTTAAAAGTGTCTGCAAAGTCCAATAAGTACACAACATGCTTTGGAAATCTTGGAGTGTGACTAGCTGGAAGCTGGCAGGAGGCAGGTCAGGTTGCCAACTACTATGGATGCAGTGCTAAATTTCCAGGAATCAATGGAGAATGAGGGTACAACCATTAAGTGATTCCAAGGAGGAAGTAAATGAGATTTTATTTATATTCATGGTGATTTATGCAAGGTTGAAGCAAAACCAGAAACCAGCAAATCATCCTACAAAGCTGGTGACCCCAGAGTAAGGGTAATGGATTGCCCTATGGTGGAAACTGGAAAAAGAGATGGCTGTAGGTTCAAGGAAGACCTGTGGGTGGAAAGTAGTAGTTCTTTTTTAAAAAATTCTTTTAAAATATTTTATTATTATTATTATCATTATCATTTTATGGTACAGTTCCATAGGCTCCTGCAATTTCCCTTATCCCCTCCCCGTTCCTCTCCCCTTGCCACCTAGTTCCTCTATATCATTACTGAAATGAAGTTCTTTATACACAGTCACATGTCCATCATTGCGGGCATGGACAATGTCAGAGAGTCCAGCATCCTGTTGTCAAGATATAGTGAACAATTTCATTGTAAGTCCATCTTTGTGTGGAAGCAGAGATGCATACTACATCGTATCCTCATCTCTTGATATATTAATCTCCATTTCACTGCTACTGTACATCCCCTCAAATGAAAAGTCACTATACAATTTCAACAACAGAAAGAAAAATAGAAATTTACAATGCCATGAAGTCAAATAACATAGTAGCAGTAGTTCTTAATAATGGCATGAACTCATTGCTCCAGAGCAAATAGTCTAACCCCAATGCTTCTGACCACCTAACTTGTTAGCTTTGAATGAGATCAAGGCAAAGAAGGAAAGGTGGCCCCAACTCCGAATATGCTGTATTTACGTTACATTTGCCCCTATAGAGAAACCTATTGATTTTCTTTTGGATTCCTCACCTTATTTAAAATAAGAATGAAGACTGAAACCTGGAACGTGGTCTTCAAATATGTTGTAGCATCATATTCTCCCCTCTCCTTCATTGCAGCTATGCTTTCCTTCCTGACCCATAAACTCCCTGAAAATTTTGTAGTTCATCCATCTTGTACTCAAGCTTACATTTTAAGAAATGCACTATTGTGTCTTCATTAAGGTTTCATAGACACATTACATAATTATTCTTTGCCAAGTTTTAAAAAAATATTCTGGGGCTTATTCCTTTCCATTTAAATGTGGGATGAATTTGTATGCTTCTACGAAAAGCCACCTAGAATTTGATAATTGCATTGCATATACAGATACATTTTAGAGATTTGACAGGATTCTCATATGAAGCCTTCAAACCTGTGAACCTAGGATATCTCTCAACTAATAAGCATACTAGGTTCACAGTTATCTCTCAATAAGTACATCTTTATTTCTTGTTTCAGAATGTTTTATTTTATGAAACAGTATTGCATATTTAATTTCTGCTTGGACATTTAAAAAATATTTATTTATTTTTACTTGAAAGGGATTTACAGAGAATAGGAGAGATAAAAACAGAAGGTCTTCCATCCACTGGTTCACTCCCCCTATAGCCACAGTGGCCAAACCTGAGACAATCCAAAGCCAGGAGCCAGGGGCTTTTTCTGAGTCTCCAACATGGGTGCATGGTCAGTGGACGTGGACCTTCCTCTGCTGTTTAATCAGACCATAAGCAGAGAGGGACTGGAAGTAGAAGCCTGAGTATGAATCAGTGCCCATATGGGATGCCAGCACCACTGGGTGAAGGATTAGCCTGTGGAGCCACACTGCCAGCTCCAGGGCTGGTTTGGGTTTGGTCCTATGTTTGTGAGATTATGTTTCATATGTTAATGTTGTGCTTTGGGACCTTGGTGAATTGACATCAGTTAAAACTGATTATGTATTTCTTGGTCTTACATGCTTTCAGGTGGTTGCAAATATGGATGGTTGTTCCCCATCATTCCATCTGCTTAGCTGTTCCTTTTATCTTCTTCTTATGGTAACTGCAGTTTATATGTTGAATGGCAGTGGAAGGAGCTGACATCCGTACCTTGTCTCTAGTGTTAAATGGGAAGCAGAGCTTTTCGCTCTAACTGAAGCTCACAGTTTTGTGCACACATTATTTACCAAGTTGAATGAATTTGTTCTATTTCAAACTTACTGATCATTTTCATTATGAGTAGCTTTTTGCAAGTTGTCAATGTTTTAACCCTCTCTTCCTTGAAAACATCTCTACCTGTTTTCCCAGCTTCTAGAGAATAGGATTGGACTCCATTTTTCAGAGTTGGCTACAACTCCACACACCATTCCTCTAAAGTTAATGAGTTATTTCGCCCGCTTTAGATTTACATCTTCACTTTAATTATAATGTATCTTGGTTTATATATATTTACTTATATTTATCTTGGCTTATGTATATTTATTTGTATTTATAAATAAAGATTTATTTATTTTTATTGGAAAGAGATTTACAGAAAGGAGAGAAAGAGAGAAAGATCTTCCATCTGCTGGTTCACTCCCCAAGTAGCCGCCATGGCCAGAACTGAGTCAATCCAAAGCCAGGAGCCAGGATCTTCTTCCAAGTCTCCCACATGAGTACAGGATTCCAAGGCTTTGGGCTATCCTCTACTGCTTTCCCAGGCCACAGGCAGGAAGGTAAATGGCATTTGGGACACAAACCAGCACCCATATGGGATCCTGGTACTTTCAAGGTGAGGATTTATCTACTAGGCTACTGTGATAAACCCTAATTTCATTCTTCATATATAACCCATTTTGCAAGCACCATGTAATGAAAGGATATACTTTTTCAATGTATGTTCAATACACCTTTGTAAAAAATCTTTTGGCTAATGTCCAAGAAGTGACACAAAAACCATCCAAACTGGAAAGAAGTGGTTGTGGAATTACACTTTGCATGCAAAGCTGACAAAGAGAAACCTGAAGTCTCACCACTGTGTGTTATCTTCAGTGGGATGGTGTCAGGCTACTGGCCCAGCAGCCCAGCACTCACTGGAGGGTTCCAGGAAGAGGCCTAGAAGCCCAGCACCAGCCTGGCAAGCTCCAGGACTCACCTCCTAAAGTACAGGTGTCAGGCTGAGCACCAGCTGGCGGGCACCAATAATCACTCCCTAAAGTAAGTGTATTAGGTGAGAAGCCTAGAGGCCCAGCACCAGCCTGACGAGCTCCAGGATTCATTCACTAAAGTATGGGTGATCGACGAGAGGCCTGGAGGCCCAGCACCAGCCTGCAGGCTCAAGGACTCACTCGCTATTGTTAGGGTGTTAGACTAGAGGCCTGGAGCCCAACACCAGTCTGCCAGGCTTTCAGACACACTCCCTAAAGTCAGGGTGTCAGGCTGGAAGCCTCAAGGCCCACTGCCAGCCTGGTGGCCTGCTGTGCAGCTGGGAGCTGTGTGACCAGCCACGACAGGAATGGGGATTCAGTTTTTCCTGTGCCACAGCTGTCAAAATGTTTACAAGGCGACATGTTCAAGGTTAGACAAACCCCTAAGAGGGCAGGTAGATCCCTGGCAGCCTCTTGGTTTCTCCTGGCCAGGGCTGAAGATGTTTGGAAAGGCTTCTACTAGAAACTGGCACCATGTTGGAGCAAACTAACCCTCCATCTGCAGCCGTATCATCCCATATGAGTGCTAGTTCAAGTCCAGCTACTCCACTTCCCATCCAGCTCCCTGCTGATGTGTCCTAGAAAAGCGGCATGGCATGGTTGAAGGGCTTGGGCTCTTGTATCCACGTGGGAGATGCAAAAAAAGCTTCTGGCTTTGGACTGGCCCAACTCTCACCGTTGTAGCCATTTCTGGAGTGAACCAGCAGCTGGAATCAATCTCTCTCTCTCTCTCTCTCTCTCCCTCTCCTTCCCTATTTCCCCTTCCCTCTATGTATTTGTTTTTTTTTTTTTTAAGATTTATTTTTATTGGAAAGGCGGATATACAGAGAGGAGAGACAGAGAGGAAAATCTTCCGTCTGATGATTCACTCCCCAAGTGAGCACAACAGCCGATGCTATGCCGATCCGAAGCCAGGAGCCTCTTCCAGGTCTCCCATGTGGGTGCAGGCAGGATCCCAAAGCCTTGGGCCGTCCTTGACTGCTTTCCCGGGCCACAAGCAGGGAGCTGGATGGGAAGCGGGGCTGCCAGGATTAGAACTGGCGCCCATATGGGATCCTGGGCATGCAAGGAGAGGACCTTAACCACTGCGCCACCGCGCCAGGCCCCCCCTCTATGTATTTGTATGACTCTCCTTCTCTCTGTGTAAATCAGCCTTTCAAACAATAATTTTATAAAGTTCTACCTGCCAGCTTCTCTCCTGCTAGATTCCACAAGCACACATTGAACAGCCCTCCCACCTGGGGTCATCCAAAAGTGCACAGAGGTAATTGAGTAAAACCTGAA